ACTTCCAAATGTATATAAAAGTTTGGGTGTATTTATGAAAGCAAATAAATAGGTTGTACGGGAAGACGATTAACTACTCGTCCAATAGACTACTTACCCGAGTGGTTGGAAAAAGATGACATCAAAGTGTGGTGAGAGCTGCCTGCAAGCCAAAATTATCGACAACAGTTTACGTCAATGTTTAATTCCAGAATCGGGGTCATGAGAAAAAACAATAACAAAGCTTAAACTTGAGGAACTCCCCAACCAATCACAGCAGACTTAGTGTGTGCAAATACGATTCGCAGATATATGGCTTAACTTTCTAAGAAACGGTCACAAACGGATGACAGAATAACCTTCAACAAGAAAACAACCAATCAGAAGACGTTGCTTCTCTGCTAACAATAACACTGATAATAATGTACATAAAAATATATATATCTCTTGATTTTCTCAATAAACGATCTGTTGCCTTGCCTTTGTCTTCTGTCGTTACAAAAGTACCGAAAAAATTGATAACAGTGTATTTCATTGACTACAGATATGATACTGACACTGTCAAGTCATTCACTGTTGTCGACAGACAAACGGAACGTGGTGCAACCAAAGTTTAGAAACTTAGTCTGTGTATGCAAACGAAAATGGTGATCACTTTGAATCTACAACGGTAATATCGTTTACATATTCACTGTCATTATTAGTGTCTTATTCCATCTTTTATTATTATTCTTAACTCATTTAAAACTATCTCTTGTCCTTACTATTATCTTAACTTATTCATTATTATCATTGTTATTCAGTTTGCAATTCCTGAAATTTTCTAGTTCTTTCTCTGATTACTAATCGTTTATTATATTTATGCAACTGAACCATAATAATCTTAGTTTTATTCTCTCATACGCCTTCCCCCTTATATTGTCTGAAACTGACATGTGGACCATTTAAACCTGTCGTTTTGCATGACTGATTCAGTGTATGTAGAGTATGCAGACGAAGAGTTTTACAGAAATTCGATGAATTTTTCAGGTCCTGTTTTATCAATATTTTGTTGATTGTTTTAAATTCTTATTGCGAAAGAAGTGTTTCCAAACATCTGTAAACATGAAGCAAGACATATTCGTTGGTCATCATTGAAATATAAAATACAAAATGACCACTGACTTATATCAGTTAGAGAACCACTGAAAACTAAAGAGTACCGCACAACTGTTCCGTCCTAGTTTGGGACTCATCGGCAGTACTTACCCAACGGAGTTCGAAGCCAGGACCTTCTGGTTACAAGGCAACCTCATAAACCATTCAGGCACTGGGATCCGACTCGATGGCTCATGCATTCTAACTTCTACCAGTCGGTAATTCTAACACGACTACCAGCCAATGTCAGCTTCATTAGCGAATCATTCATTTTGCTGTCAAACGGAAGACTCCTTTAAATAGAATAATTTTTTATTCCTTTACGTTCCCAGTAGAACATTGGAAGCTTCAAGCTAGAGGCTTGAAGTTTCAGTAGCAGTGGTGCTTATTTTTACAGGATGGGGTTGCTAGTCTCATACCCAACCTTCCCTCTTTACCAGTCTTATTACTGGCTTAGCAAGGTAAAGGAGTGCGTCTGTAGCCGAGGCTCGAACCCAGGACCACATGGCTGGTTGGCGCATGGAAAATGAAGCTGAAAGCGATAATATTCTAATATATATTTTCTTTCTAACATAAAGAGGAAACAGCTTAATTATACAAACAAAGATTGTAAAATTCAAACTTTTTTTGTATAACTTACCATTCAAGTACTGACAGTGATGAAAATCAAAACTTGGACGAAACATATTACAATGCTTTAAATATTCCAATTATTATTTTTTTAGTTCTAACAAGGACATTGAATATTGAATAGACTTTTTTCGAAGTGAAGTAAAAGAGAAGGTTTGTTTGGTTGCTTGGTTCAGTCATCTAATTAAAGTCGGTTAACTGATTGACTCACCGATTGATTGACTCACTGACTGACTGGCTGACTAACTGATTGACAGATTGTTTGTGTGACTAATATTTTCTAATCTCAAACAGTTATCTCCTTTTTACATGAAAGTGTTTTAATTGGAATTTAAGAAAAATAACTCATTCAGATGCATATATTAACGCATGACTGACATACTACTAATATGTATGTCACAGAATTTGTGCACTATTTATCACACTGAGCCTATAGATTGTTTCAAAAGAATAGTAATAAATGTGTTTGAACAGTTTTCAACAGTTCATATATGCACTGTACCCTAATGTAATACTGTCAGTATTTATGGTGCATAGTCTAGTTTATTGACTTTTGGACGACAGAATTCACGTGTATGGAAACTGGAGTGTGTGTGTTTGTGTACAGTTTAATGAAAGACTGACAGTAATCATATTGGTTACAGGATTTCATCATGAACTGACATTGGTTAGAAAACCATTGGAAAACCTGGTAGTACAGGACAGATGTTTCGTCCTAGTTTGGGACTCTTCACAGTACGCACCCACCGGGGCTCGAACCCATAATCTTCGCGTTACAAGGCTAGCTAGCTGGCTCCTATACCATTAAGCCACTGGAACCCAATCCAATGGCCCATGAATTCTAACTTCTGCCAATTCACGATATAGCGCAACCGCTAGCCAATGTCTTCGGCTTGTTTGTAGGGATTTGGTTGATTGGTTACAGGATTTCATCATGAACTGACATTGGTTAGAGAACCATTGGAAAACCTGGGAGTACTGGACAGCTTGTTTCGTCCTAGTTTGGGACTCTTGAATAGTAATCATATTCTTGTTTGACACCTTCGTTTTTTAATTTATAAATAAAAGAATCCGTTTATTTTTTCCCTTATGATACAATTCTAATACACTACTGATTTACACTAGTGAAATAAAGACATTGAACAGAGAGAGAGAAATAAGCATTTATAGGATTTACAGGATGAAGCAATGGATTGAATATCTGAAACTTACAAAGGTCCATTTTAAAACAAATCACTTCTGTAAAATCTTTCAAAATAAAATTCAGTCAATACTTATAAGTACTTTCAGATTGAATCTTCTGAAGTACTATTTGGAATTAACCAAGTCCGGCTTAACAACAGCAGTTATTCACTAATAGTTGCCAGTTACATCCCGATCTAACTGTTCCTAAGTGAAAAACTTTTTGGTCAGATTTCAACCAGTTGTCTAAGTTAAATGGGCCTACGTTATATCCTTCTCAAATGTCAGCCAGTTAATTTCATCTTCAAGCATAAAAGTCATCCACAACGAACTTGTTCATTCACATAATGCATATAGCATAAAGGGAACTGAAATAGGAACTAAGTAAAGCAATAAATACCTTGGAATAGTTCATTTCTCTGACCTTTCTTGATCGATCTTCCCATATCTTGTCGATTTCCAGGAAAGTGTTCCGTCTAACTTTCTAAACTAAGTAGTTAACACTACTTCTGCCGTTACAGTTGACCAACTCTATGTCCGTTTATCGATTCACGTGCTCGTGCAGAGCTAGGTATATCGGTCGTTCGACTCGGGTTTTGTCCAAGAGGGTGCAAGAACACTATCCTACACGGTTACGAAGAGGTGGAAGTTGAGCTGTAAGAAACGTAATCATTGAACATCTGGTCGATACTGATCACCCTATCTCTACAGCCTCCACCTTTAAAGTCATCTACAAGACGAAAAGTAATTTCTTCAAATCACTACGTACCCGACTCATCTGTATTGCTGAAGCTTTGGCTATCGAATCAGAAAAGTCAGATCTCTGTATGCAAGAAAAAAAGTTCGTCCAACTCCTCCAACTTTCATGGTCTTAGTCCCTCTATACTAAAGTATGATCATCCCCATTCATATTTTGGCTCTACTTATTTTTCGTTTTGTTTATTCACTTTGTATGCTCTTCCTTTATTACGTCTATTATTACTATTACTATTCTCACTTTGAATTGTCCCGGGTATTAATTCACTAGTCCCACTTGTCAGTCTAAGTCACATTTTTGCAAAGTTAAATTCTATGTTATCAAATTTCACACAGTGTTGCGTAACGTTTTGATTTCTATTCTATTTGCCTACTAGTCCTAGAAATTTAGACCCCTTCCAACTTCTATACATCCTACGAACTGCTATATATATGACATTAATTGTTTTGCCACTTGACGTCTAACTATGATTATAATCACAAACATTTTAATTGCATTTCGTACTATATGTCCAAACCAAGTTTACTTTTAACAGTTTGAAAAAATTTGGGCATTGGGTATATGATATTCATTATAATGAAGGGTTTCTTGTATTTCCCAATGAATGAAAACCTTTATTATAATGCATTTCGTACTATTATTACTTTGTGTACTCAAACCTATAATTCAATTCTCTCACTGGATATAATTTCTTAGAAAACCATAAATATATATATACAGTTGTACAGCTTGATAATAAATTCGTTGAAAAGAGTCTCTTTTCTGAATCACTTGTTTTGATTTTCTGTGTCTCTCAATGGGAATTCTCCGTGACGTAAGTAATTCTCAATCATCTTAAAAGTTGTCAGCTACCATAGATTTTCTGTTGTGTGGCTTCTTTTCCTCAGTAAGTCATCAATGCTTTCTAGCTGATATTCTTCGACTAATTATTATTGAATTACTGTTTGCATTTCAGTGACTAAATGCTCTTACCCATGATATTTGAATGCTATTCCATGGTTAACTGACATTATAAAAACTAAAAGTTGTTTTCTTTATGAAAAGAAATCAGCCAGTATACCATCAAAAACCTAAGAAGCACTAGACTTCCGTCTATTCCATTTTGGCGATTCCTTGAAGGTATATATTCATGGTCAGAACTATCAGGACCAAATAATCACCCGATACTCCTTCTTTTTCAGTTCTTTTTCAACTGAATTCAGTTTGCATCAAAAATTCACACCCAGATCATTCACTCTACTCCACTCCTCACTTATTACTTTAAGAGAACAGAATAATTACTGAACTTTTTCTCATATTTCCTCCTATTTTACAGAACCTCCTCGTATACAACCGAATCCAATAGTTCATGCTCATTTAGGTCAACCTGCAAGATTACGTTGCACAGTGAATTCCGTCCCACTTCCACCTTCTGGTCAAACAAATTGGTATTTTAATGGAAATCCAATTCAACCAGATTCACAGTAAGTATATCGATTGAAAATTAATTTTTTTTATATATGCTGAAAGTGTATTTTAACTACAAGGGAAAGGGGCAAAGTTAAACTTTAAGCACCACCAACTACCAATCATTGGATGACCTTCAACGAATCAATCATATAAAAGAGGCATCTTTGGTTATGGAAAACATATATTTATGAGAAAAATGCACAAAAACTGCATAAAACTGTTAAATAGGGTATCTTTCTCTGACATGTGATAGAAACATCTCCCAGTTTAGCATAGGAGTATCAATAGAGAAGTTACACTACATTCTGTACATATGTTCATCTAGATGACTATGAATAATAATAATAATAGCTTTATTCCAAACAGTATTTGTGGTACAGGTATGGAATTTTCAGCGTGCACTGCAATATTGCATCTAATTACCTCATAAATATTTATAAGATTTTAAAAATAAAAACCAACAACAACAAAAAGAAAGAAAGATAAATAAAAGAAATAAAAAAGAACAGCATTGCATTCACATATTTAAACAATGCATCACAGGATATGAAATATAAAATTAGTGTGTAATAGAATATGTGAGCAACAATATAATAGTAACAAAGAAAGGAGAACAAAAGCTAATGGGAACTATTTATTAGAGTGCCACAGTAAGTTGATCATGTCATACCTAACGGATTTCTCATCACATAACAGCTGTGCCAGATAAGGTATTGTGGAGTTTTGTACTTGGTAGTCCTAGCATATAGCCTCCTATGGTTACTTCTAATTCTAACAGATGAAATGCAAGGAGAGAGTTGCGTATAGAGAGGATGCTCGGGGTCTGACAATATAGAATTCGCTAGTCTCTTACATGACATCATATGTCTATCCACAATGGTTTTAACCAGTTGGTTTAACGAAATCCCACTTGCCCTATGACATCTTTTTGAGATCCATTTATGGCCCTAATCCTGTTTTTCAATCTTTCCCAAAGGCCTTCTATAGAATTGGTGTGTGTTCTTGTAATGCGATCCACAAAATCATTAGAATGGTTCACTCTATGATTAATATATCCAAGCGATGATATGGAGTTATTACCTTTCCACTCACTGGTGTGTATTATAGGTCCTTGTTCCACCAGTCAAGTGATAATAGGTACTAAGGTAGTTGACTTTCTGTCTACTATTCTCTCAGCGAATCCTTTCTGTAGGGAGGTGTAATATAAACCAATGACCCAAACATTATTTACTCTCTCACGATCCCGGTTGTATATTTTCTTCAATAAGACAGTTTCGTCCACGTGTACAACGACACCTTCTCCCCTTAAATAATTCCCTCCATTTTCCATGACGCAATGTCTCTGCAATGCTGGTAACACTGAACTGCTAATACAGGGCTATTTTCAGTGTCAGCAGCTGCACCGCTCACAGGCTGTTTTAAAACCCATTGATTGCAAATATATAAAATCTGGAATAAGGACGGATGGGACCTAGCAAAAAATGTTCCTAAGAAATATTAGAATCATCAGCTTACCTTTTTCTAACACTAATTCGTCTCAAACAAATTGCGTAACGATGGACACATTCATCAATCGACCTGCTGAAGCTTTTTATACTCATGACACCTCCACATGAACAAATCCTTTACTTCCTAAGCAACCACACATCCGAGCAATACTGAAAAACCTTATCCTCACCAAACTGCAAGCGTAACTGTGTTAGAGGAGGCATTTGACTCGAATCAAGCGAAACAGAACCTTCAACTTACGTGGATGAAATTCATTGAACCATTCATGGTCATTCGCTGATTGCTTGTTAGTGGTGCTTAAAGTTTAACTTGGTCCCGGAAGGTTAACAGTTTTCCACATCGCATATCTCTTACATTAGTTAAAGATAATGAAGCCATAAGTGTGCATTCACAGCAGAAACACAATTATGATAAGTAATGTGGTGGAAATTTATCAACAATTATACATCAGTAGACACAAATGGTGACCACTTTGACTTTCTTTGATTGATGATAAAGTTCATAATTCAAGTATTTCTTTATGATAGCCTCATTATAATGAGAATTAAAATTGATTTGGAAAGTATGAACTACTAAATACTAACTTGAAAGTAAAATCATGTTTGGTTCTGTGTTAGCATTCTACTACTAGGGAGTTTCGAACTAAAGTCAAAATAATATCACAGTACTTCTTTCCTTCCAGTGAATTTCTATGCGATGTCATCACTTGGACTTAATATCTGAATTATTCACGATATAAATTATATGATAGAATTACACTACTAATAAGTAGTCAATCGGATTAATACAAATTATCGTCATCTGGAGGCTCAGATGAAATGGTGATCAAGTAGATGATTTTAATTTAGTTGTGTTCTCTGAGCTGGATGGTTTATTTGTGAACTTAGATTTTCGATAAGATTTTCAGCGCATTAAAATCAATCTACGATTTATTATTTAATTTAGAAACTTGTTCTGCCAAAAACATATCTAAAATGATGATGACAGTTTCACTATGAAGCTTTTTGGTTCAAAGACTGTACTACTACAGAAATAAATGTCTACCAGTAGTAATTATGTTTTCCTTTAGTATTCACTTACAAGGTTAACACAGAAAGGTTTAAAAGTAGTACTTTTAACAGACCTGCTGGTACCTTAATGGTTTCTTTTTTAAATGCCTTCCCAGTATCCTTCATAGTAAAGTTTGAGTCAAATATGAAAGCTTTAGTTTATAAATAAATAATACTTTTGATTGGGAACTAGTCAGTAACTAGTGTAATGTGTCTAGTCCTTTGTTTGATGCAGACTGAATTCTATTATTCAAGTTTGCAATGTGACCACCACTCCACGTGGCTGATGAGTGCCAACTAGCACGAAACCTAGGTCCAAGGCTTCCTGACGATTGCCTTCAACCATCTAATATCATTAAATCATCATAGTCAAACCTCCTTTTGGCTTTCATTTCAAAGTCAAAGGCATACAAACATCCATTTTTGTTTGAAGAAAATTCCTATGTGACTTTTTAGATGACTCTTAAGTGACTTCATCACGATTATACAACATCTAATTACTTATTATAAACCGAAGGGAATCGTTCCTTGTTTTGCCTGCTTCAGGACTCTAATAGTGAATCAGTGTTGAATCCCAGTGGGTAAATACGTGGATATTAACGATACTGAAATGCAACAGGTAACTCATCTGCATGCCAAACACGACTTTCTCCCTCAAATACCTTCTGCTTCACCGATTCACAAAAATATCAGAAAACAAAGACTGACCTGTGTGGACAAATTTATCAGAGAAATATACGTCACTTCCAGTGCACATAAAATTACACTAGTTCAGTGGTTGAATAAACTAAATTGGTTTGTTGCATAGAGTCAGAGGTTGTCAAATAAAATTAGTATGTTTGGTTGGAGGATTTCATCATGAGCTGACATCAGTTAGAGAAGCATTGGAAAACCTACCTGGGAGTACTGGACAGCCAGCTGTTTCGGCCTAGTTTGGGACTCTTCAGCAGTATGCGCCTACCGTCAGGGTTCGAACCCAGGACCTTCTGGTTACAAGACGAGCCCGTAGTCCGGGGGATGCGTACTGTGAAGAGTCCCAAACTAGGACGAAACAGCTGGCTGTCCAGTACTCCCAGGTGGGTTTTCCAATGCTTCTCTAACTGATGTCAGCTCATGATGAAATCCCCCAACCAATCAAACAACAAATCCCTACAAAACCAATACTTGAAAATTAGTATGTCCTTGTAACAACATAAATCTAAGCTGGAGACACAAAATCTTCTACCTGAGAAGCCAATGGTATAAAGCGTCTATTTTACTTCTAACTGCTTCCTATCAATTAGGGTCTATTCTACTATGCAGCTCGAGCATCATTCAGAGTTATTGGTAAGTGTTTGAACCTACCACAAACTGGAAGTACTTCTCTTTACAAGCCTCCAGTAAGGACTGAATAGTCATCTAAATACTAATCTGATGAGGTCAGCAGGTTTAAAGCTATTCTCAGTTAGTGTCAATTCAGTCAATGAACAGAAATTTAAGAGCAAGTGTTATTAGTTGTGTATGTATATGTTTGGTTCCAATTAATCCACTATTATTGTATTATTATTATTTATTCCTTTACGTTCCCAGTGGAGCATAGGGCTTCAAGCTGGAGGCTTGAAGTTTCGGTAGCAGTGGTGAATATTTTTACAGGATGGGGTTGTTAGCCTCATGCCCAACCTTTCCTCTTACCAGTCTTTTACTGGCCTAGCGAGGTAAGGAGTTCGTCGATTGAGGATCGAGCCCTGGACTACCTGCGTGGTCGGCGGCACCCTACCGCTGTGCCACTGACGCACAATTAATTCCACTGATATTCATTATTTTCTAGGCACTTAATCTTAACTTGATAATTATTTCAATCATACTGAATTCTATGCCTTTTTTTCTTCTTTAAACAGCCATAAATTTGAACAAGAAGAATTTATCGGTGGAGTAGTACTTGTACTGCATATAGCCCATGTAATGATGAGTGATTTTGGTCAATACAATTGTTCCGTGAGTAATGATTATGGATCTGACTGGAAAATAATACGACTTAATCATCAAGGTTTGTTAAACTTTTAAACGAATTATGCATATATTAAGGTTTTTTTGTATTTCCTAATGAATGAAAAACAAAACGATATTGTTGTTTTTACTGACGTTTCGCTATTTAATCTGCCAATAGCTTTATCAAAGTATTATTAAACCAGAATTTACAAAATCTCAGCTTATATAGATAACAACTTAATCATCGTTAATAAGCATGGGGTCATTTTCTCGTTGTCAAATCGGCCAACTGGTAAAGATAACAAAACCAGGTGTATATTGTTGGATTTGATAAGTGTGTAAAATTATAAAAGCAGCGTGTGTTTACATAATGAAATTGCTTATCACATTCGTGTTGATTTTTTCATTTCATGGGGGAGGGAGGTGTTGTAACCAGGTCAAATTCTGTTTTAGTCCATCATTCCTATTCAGACAATTTGGATTCCACTTGATGTGAAGTGCTTCTGATACTAGACGTTCTTTATGATTTCTGAAATTTTCTGGATGATGATTTCAATATTGTCAAAATCAATTTTCTGACCTGATTCGATAGCGTGTAGACGAGCTATGGCTGATGATTTTTCAAGCTTTTCTAGTTCAACTGGATTTCTCGGTGGTCGAATAGAGGCGGCTCTACAGTGTTCATTTCTTCTGATTTTGATTTCTCTCTGGTGATGTTTGTCCGATGTATATCGCATCACATTCCAAGCATTTTATTTTATAGACACAATTAGATAGGGAATCTTTAGGGATTCGGTCTTTTATATGGACAAGGTTGTTTCGCAGTGTGTCTGATGTTTTGAAGAAAACTCTGATGTCAAGCTTATTGAGTACTCTTCTGATATTGTCTGACGTCTCCGCACAGAGATATTGTCGTCAGATATAAAATCTAATTTCATCATAAAATGATATTCTTACTTCTCCTAATGATGAATATAGTTCATTTAAAAACTGTATATACCTCAGAAAAGATACAGGTTCTCAAGTTTCTTGTTAGATCAGTAGAAACTAATAAATATGAAACATTCTTTTCAGTAGTTGTTGTCATGATAACTCAATTGTCAGAACAGCTGTCGACTTCTTAACTGAGATAGTAGTCGTTAAGGCGATCAAATCCTTTTGACGTAAATTGCTTACTTAGGAATGATTAGTTGTCAAAATGACCAACTTACGTCTTGGCAGAGAATTAGATTCAATAGATAATTATTGAATGCCTATTTAGTCCTAGTTTGCAACTAATGAGCCATGAGCAGCGAAAAACCCAGAAACAATTGGATCTAAGACTGCTAGATGGCCAGAAAAGATTAGCAGCAAGGAACTCGGAGAAAAAAGCTACCAAGAACCTACTGCTCAACAAATATCCAGAAGGAAATGGAGATGGATTAGACAGACACTGAGGAGAGTGCTGAGTGACACCACGCGCTGGGCCATCTAGTAGAACCCGAACGGAAAACAACGAATCGAGTGTCCGAGGGTGACGTGGAGGAGAAGATCAGAGACTATAGGTGATCGTTGAACCAGCTACACAGGACTGTAAAGAACCGGATGGAATGGAGATGTGCTATTCAAGCCCTGAGTTCCACTCGGAACCCAAGGGATTAATAATGACGGTAATAATTAGGATTCACTAATCAGTGATTCCCCACTTTCTCAAATTAACCGAGTTGCTGTCTAGTGTTTATTGATTTCAAAACGTCTCACTACACTCAAACCAATAAAATGCATAATAATCTTCTAAATGTTTAACCGCGGAATTCAAGAAATCCAAAAGTAATACTAGCTTTTAACAATTATTAGGCAATTCTCGAAAGCAAATTGTAAAAAATAAAGTTTTATTATATTATGTACGTATTTTGTACTAATTATTAAATCACTTCAAGAAAGCTGTCAGATCTCCCTTAACTGCCATCACTTTTGAAATCCCAACTGTTAAATTGGAGTTATATGGAAGCTTCAAAAACTGCCTCATAATTCTCCTCAATTGAAGTTATTTATAATCATTATTTAGATTATGAGGATTTACAGTAATGTTGATCGTTGCTATGATGGAGTGTTACTGGATTGTCGCGACTCTTAACTTTACTAGAATGCGCCTCCAGACACGACACTATAATCAACTGACAGCTTGAAAATATGGCCCATACTGAAATGGACATTAAAGTCAGACTGACTACGACAACCTCAAAAATTCAAGCCATAAACAAATAGTCAAATCTGATTGGTCTCCATCCCCAGAAAGTGAAACCAAAAATAAACGAATCAGAAAACTGTCCAATCAGGTTATCATGTCAGTACATGCATAAGTCATGACTTCATGGCTAACAGAGAATCCTGTCCTTATAACAACTCCAGTTTTCTTTTTAATAATTCTCTACTTGGGGACCAATAGAAGATACTTTGTAGATCTGTGTTTATGATAATCATGTTAAAGCACTAGCAATCTTTTTGTTCAACCTGCAAATATTGTGAATTTTTATCTTTTACTCAGTAAGCAGCTCACTTCAAATATGGAGAAGTCATAGGTTCAAAATTAAGATGCGCTAATAAATACTATTGCGTAAGAGATGAAACAGTTAATTTCATTTTAAAGAGCAATTCACTGACAGAATATAATAGTTGTTTCCATCAGGAACGTTTAGATTTATTTTAGACAGGTCTTAAATTTGTGAGATTGGGTTGAAATAATCAGACATGGCATGATTTCCTAGAAACATTATTTACTCAATACTAACCTACTATTCGATTTATTTAACAGTCTGAGTGCTTAGAAATTTGTTTCTCCAAAACTTAACTGTTTAATGACGCTAAAATAGACACACTATTGTGTCATTCGACATAATAATATTTTTACGAGTTGATCACGGACTAATATCAGTTACAGAAGTGAGAAGTCGTGACCAGTGAGGTCCAATTAGAAGTCACGTGTGTGGATGGATGTCCCACCAACGACAATAGTTGGGGTCGCGCTAAAATCACGAATTGGTAGAAGTTAGAATTCATGAGCCATTGAATCGGGTCCCAGTGGCTGAATGGTATACGAGCTTGCCTTGTAACCGGAAGGTCCTGGGTTTGAACCCTGGTGGTGGGTGCTTACTGTCTATGATTCCCAAACTAGGATGAAACAGCAGCTTTCCAGTACTCCCTGGTTTTCAATGGTTCTCTAACTGATATCAGTCCGTGATCAACTCGTAAAAACATAACTAATCCTTACAAACCAAACTTTAGAAAATAATAATATTTTCAAATATTGGTTTTGTTGAGATTTTGTTTGATTGGTTGGAGGATTTCATCATGAGCTCACATCAGTTAGAGAACCACTGGAAAATGGAAGAATGTTTCGTCAACCTGGTTTGGGACTCTTCATCAGTACGCACCCATCAAGGTTCGAACCTAGGACCTTCTGGTTACAAGACTGGTGAGCTCGTAGACCATTAAGTCACTGGGACCCGATCCAGTGGCCCATGAATAGTATTATATATATATATAATATTTCATGATATATATAATTATATATGTATATATATTATATGTATAATAATAATATTATTCCTATTACAGAAGACATCCCAGTTCAATTTATTATTGGTGCAGCGGTCACTATTGGTATCCTGTTGATAGTGGGATTAATTTTACTCTGTATATGTCGTCAGAGAGTATGTGGTTTCCGATATAATAAAGGTAAGTGAACATCACATCACAATGAACCATACTCATTATAACGATGACAACATATTCAGTTAAAATGCAATTCTCCTTTTTACCATTGTTTATTATCATCAATTAGTAGAAGAAATGATTGTGTATTTTGCAGAAAGTTTGTTTTTACTGACTGAAAATATTATCAAAAGAATGGTTACTGAACAAAGAATACTCTTTTCGATAACTTCATCATCAGGTCCTATAGTTTTATGTACATAATAGTTAATGGATTAGTGTTATTAACAACATTAATGTATCTACCAATTCATTTGCGCTTGTGGAGCGATTTATATCGGCCGTTGCTCTAGGAACTTGATTTTTCGTGCTCCAGAACATCTCCCAGTATGGCTAAGTAAAGGTGTAGTAAAACCATCAACAGTTCGGTATTAGACCACCTGGTCCAAACCGGCCGGCCACAAAGCCAGCATTGAAGAATCCTTCTCTATCATCTATCGGGAACCAAATAAACTGCCAAAAACATCGAGGTACCGCATACTCCAAACAGCAGAGGCTATCGCGATTCGCGTGAAACAACCAGTTGTGCTTAACTAAAAAATCTGGATGCTGCATACTTTTGCAAAAGCCTTAAAATTATTTCAGCCTTCTTGTAAAAATAACACGTGATTAACTTCAAAATAAGTAGGTTTCCATGATTTCTGATATGCAACAGAGGAACTTTCAGATACTAAATATTTACCTACTTCACACCGATAAACAATGTGAGTTTCAATGCGAAGGTGATTGATTTCAGCTAAACTGAATCTTTCGTCTGATTTCTCATAAGATATCTCTTCATGAAGTAGACGAATAGTGATCAGTGTTTTTTTTCAACCAGAATATTAATTATGTTGTGTTTTAGAAAGATTGAAAAAGCCTCAGAAATTTCATTTTCATTCGCTCCCTGTGGTTTTGCTATAAACACACTTTTGATTTGTGTTGTGGTCTTATATTTTAATATTTGGGAGTATATGTGGTTATCGTGTTCTTGTGCACTACCACATATATACGATAGTCTGAAAGCGTCTTTCATTCTTGTGGCAGCTATGTTATAACTGACAGATCTTGAATAAAATTCGGCACCATCGGTTGCTTTCCACATCTCGCTTGTTATAAATATGTCAGTGACAAGGTGTTCTACAACATCTCTTGTGCTACAAACTTGTCAATAAGGGTCGAAGAAATTGGGGATAGAGCGGATACACGCTGAAGAGACAGGCGGGTAAAATCGCTGGCCAAGCCATCACCGGAGTAGAACCCGACTAGGACATCCGAGAGTGACATGGAGGAGATCATATGAGGAGGATATGAAAGCTTATGGGTAATCGTGGAGCCAGCCGAAGGGGACTGCAAAGAATAGGACAAAATGTAGATGCACTGTGAAGCCCTATGTTCCACTCGGAACCCAAGGGAATAATAATAATATCCTGGCAGCGACACCATGTGCGTCGGTAGCACAGCGGTAGAATACTCGCCAACCACGCAGGTGGTCCGGGGTTCGATCCTCGGCCGACGCACTCTTCCTTTACCTCGCTAAGCTAGTAATAAGACTGGTTAGGAGGGAAGTTTGGGCATGAGGCTAGCAACCTCATCCCGTAAAAATAAATACCACTGCTACTGAAACTCCAAGCCTCTAGCTTGAAGCCCTATGTTCCACTGGGAACGTAAAGGAATAAAAAAATATCATCTAGGCTGCTAGTAATCAGAGATGCTACATCAAAAGACACGAAGAATACATTTATGTATTTTTAAATTCTTGATAAACTGTAAAGCACCTATCACTCTAATATTAACTAGTATCACATAGATGAGATTTTAAATTCTATACTATCAACAATGTTAATGACATAGAAATTTCATTATTATTTAAAAAATTATTTTCAATAGGATACCGTTCTAGTTGTCCCAATGAACTGTATGTACATACGCTGTATGTGAAATACTTTTAATGTTTGTTTGTGTTTTCTTTTAAATTTTAATTTAGGTAACCGAAGTAAACAACCATCAAGGAATTCTTTACAAGATTATGGTGTCGTTAATTCAGATTTTACTGCACGGGCTTGTACACCAAATATGCATTATCGTCAAGATCCTTATCAGTGTTATTCTACTAATCCTAGTTTAAATAAATCAGTTAATCGTTATGCCTTAGATGCTGTAGATCAGGTAAGCTATTCCAATAAAACATTTTTACTTTATTTTAGTGTTTGGTATACCTAGAATTTTGACGTTTAATCGTGAAATTGTCGGTATTAACAAGTGTTGATTGGTGACCGGTTTGATTACAAGGTAAGATCAGTTAGAGAACCACTGAAAATTAAGGGGTACTGGGCAGCTGTTTCATCCTAGTTTGAGATTCCTCAGCAGTACTCTCCCACCGGACTTCGAACCGAGGACCTTCCAGTCACGAGACGAGCCACTGAAACTTCTATCAATGGCTCATGAATTCCTATTTCTTCCAATTCGCGATATAAATATAACATAACATCAGGCTAATGTCATGGGCGGTCCTCTAACTGATGTCAGCTCGGGATGAAACCCGAAACCAATCAAATCCCTGAAAACCAACATTTGACAATTAATATGATGCTTACAAGTGAATGGATCTATACAGGAAGCCACCTGGAGTCGAAGTGAGAAGCCGTGACAAGCAGGGTCTGCCAAGTCGAGCAATAGAGCAGTTACTCATCTATGACATTGGCTACAGATTGCCCTAAATATCGCCACTTGGCAGAAGTTGAAATTCATGGCCCGATGAATCGGGTCACAGTGGTTTGATGGCCTACTATCCCACCTTATAACCGTTAGGTCCTGGGTTCGAATTCCGATGGGTACACACCAATGAGGAACCCCGAACTAGGACAAAACAGCTGCCCAGTACTCCCTAGTTTTCACTGGTTCTCTAACTGTCAGCTCGCGATCAAGCCTTTGTCAGTACTGTCACTAAGACTAAGTAGTTAGTGACACCTGTAATCTTTGTGTTGTTCCACTATATTTCTGTCGCGAAACTTACCGCTGCTAACTTCTATAGGTAAATACTGACTTATTCCACAATTCAGATTATGTAATACTGCTGCTAATTTCACTTGGTGATTATAACGAGTACTGGTCACTAGTCTATAACTATTTTTTAAAGACAAAAATAGACAACAAGTCCTCCCTCTGAATATATGTAATATCAAAATAAAAGTTCACTGTCATACATGACAGTAATTTAATAATTCCCATTTTAGCATTAAGAACACAACATTCATTGAAGAGACTCTTTTCAACGAATTCATTATCAAGCTGTACAATCGTATAATAATAATAATAATTTTGTGTTTAAAATGACAAGTGGGTCAAGTGGAAAAGATTCAGAGTGAGAATAGTAATAATAATAATAATGATAATAATAATGATCGTTACAGACTTCTTAAGACATCTGAGGCCTTGGCAATTCATGACTTTAAGCCAAACCTTTGAGTACAAAAGAAGTATGTACAATCCCTACTTCTGCCTTGGCCGTAGAGGGATAGACATTTATTTATTTTGTTTATTTAGTTATTCTATGTACTTTTCCCTTATTACTACGATTATTATTATTACTATTCTCACTCTGAATCTTTTCCACTTGACCCACTTGTCATTCTAAACCCAAAATTATTCATTTTTATATCTTTTATTTTCATAACATTGAATTCTATCTTATCAAATTCCACACCATGTTATGTAACATTTTGTATTCGTCTACTAATCCTATAATTATGTATCCCTTTCCAAAATCTATACACCTTATGTATTATTCTATATATATGACATTAATTATTTTGCCACTTGACATTTAACTATGATTATAATCACAAATATTTTAATTGCATTTCATACTATTATTATTTCATGTATTCACACCTTTGACCTAATTCCTTCACCGGATATAATTTCTTAAAAAACATATATATATATATATATATATATATACGATTGTACAGCTTGATAATGAATTCGTTGAAAAGAGTCTCTTTGCTGAATATATGACAGTGACAATTAACTCAATTTAGTGACCAAATCCAGTATTTGATCGATAAACTTCTGTCAATGCACTTATGATCAGACAGCAACACTAATTAAAATCAAGTGATGATCAATTCGTGTATATTTCCCAAATAAGGAAGATATAAACAACCTTAATAATAATAATATAATAGTAATAATAACTATACTTCACACTAACTGGTGACCTGTTTAGCACAAAATTTCCCAGTGTTGATCGGAGTTTATGGACCAAGTCTGTACTGTGCTCATTTAATGAGCTGATGCAACGCTGTGACAGTCGAATCTTAGAAGTTAGGAGAAAATTGGTTAAGAAACTGTGTCTGACCTAGATTTTGCGCCTGTTGACACTCATCAGCGAAATATATCTGAAAACATGACGCAACTCTTGTTCCATTGTAGTTTGAAGGTCTAAATAACAGTCTTGGAATTTATTACTGAGTAAGTGGAAAGTTCAAATTCTCAAGGGAACATAAATTTCTTATTATACACTACGCTGATAAGTGTAGTGAAGCATGAAATCTAGATTTAAGTTTTTTATCGGTAAACTATCAAATAAAGTCAAATGGCCACAAGGAATTAGTAACAAGAAACTCTGCAGTGTAAAAAACCAGCCAACAGCCGATTGCCGAACAAATATGTAAGAGAAAATGGAGATGGATCGGGCATACACTGAGGAAACCGTCGAATGACATCACGCGCAGTGCAGGCCATAGCTGGAGTGGAATCCAAATGGGAGGCGACGAGTGGGTCGTCAGTGCGAGGGTGACATGGAGGAGATCGTGTGAAGAAGAGATGAGAGAGTTTGGGCAATCATGAACCCAGCTGAAGAGGACGGTAGAAAATAGAACAAAGTGGATATGTGTTGTTGAAGCCAGCCCTATATTCTACTCGGAACCCAAGGGAATAATAATAACAAATAAAGCTTTGTTTAAAAACAAATTCACAAAAGATTTCAGCATATTTTAATATATTTTCCTTTTAAAATCAGCATTAACTATTCTATACACTTTTTTATACTACTTCTAGGGATCAATGAATATGCATAAGGATAGATCTGAAAACTGCTTTTATGAAACATCTAAAGAAGACTTTTGTAACAATACGTAAGTTATTTTTCGAATAAGATTTTATGAACTTTCTACTTAAATAGTCTCTATCAATCATCTATATCCTTCTCTACAGTGAAATGAATTGTAGTATATCTTGAATATTGATGACAATTTATTGATCAAAAGCTTCGTGATACTGGCTAAAGATACTTTCATGTCAAGCTTATATAGTGCCACTTTAAAAAATACTGCTTGTATTCCATAGAAATTTCACTATATTACATTTGAATGAGTTTGGAATACTGTTTCACATAAAAATCGTAGTAACACATATACATAGTGTTTTATGCTGATCATTTCCTTCATATATTCTTACTTACAGTTCTAACTATGATCACCTTCAAGTGAAAACCAACAGCAAGGAAGGTAAATAGGATTGAACAGCTTTTGAAAGAAGGGATAATGCTGCAATGTGAGGAAGAGTTCCGAATGGGACATAGAACTTCAGTAGTGCATCTTCACTTCACTCTGTTGCCTGTAGTCATTTTTAGTTGGCTTAACGATTGTCCATAGGCTTTCACCTCGTCCATTTCACCTTCGGATCCATGCCTAAATCATCGTTTCTCATTTGGGTTCCACTTGAGGACTTGTCTGGCGTGGGATGTCACTCAACGATCTTCCTTAGGCATATTTGTCGAGCAATAGGTTCTTGGTTGGTTCATTGAACTGCGGAGTTCCTTAGTGCTAATCTTTCCTGACTGTCCGACCTTCAGTATGCAGCGAAGGCGAGTGCTGATGAAAGTCTACAGTAGTCTGTTGGAAATGTTTTATGTGGTGCGCTCGCGAAGTCTATAACCCCACACATAGAATCTCTGACTTGACATTAGTTTTCAAAATTCAAATCTTGTTTCTTATGCTGAGAGTGGAGTAGATTTTCACACTAACTTCTGAGTAAAATGAACGCTTGTTTTATATTTCTAAGCCTGCCTTTGACAACCTTAACTGTGCTTCTTGTAGTTGGAATGATACTGTCTAAGTAAGGGAAAAAAGTAACTTCCTTTAAATTTCTCCGGTTTATGGTGATTGTTGTTGTTGGTTAGGTATCTCCAACACCTCTGTCTTCTCTAGGTCCACTTGAATTCCTTTCACCGCTGCCGCTTGTGGCAACTTGTTGGTTTTCGCTTGTATATCTTCTGGTTGATGCGACACAACATATATCATCCGCGAAGTCTAAATATTTTAAAAGTAATTAGTGGGCTGTGCGTCAGTAGCACAGCGGTTAGGACGCTCGCCGACCATGCACATAGTCAGGGTCCGATACCCGGCCGATGCACTCCTATAGCTCACTAAGCCAGAAGTAAAGCTGTTAAAGAGGAAAGGTTGGACATGAGGCTAGCAACCCCATCCTGTAAACATAAACACTGCTACCGAAACTTCAAGCTTCTAGCTTGAAGCTCTATGTTCCACTGGGAACGTGAAGGAATATATATATATATACATATATATATGTATATATATATATATATATGATTAGTCGACTAAAAATTATTGACGAAATATAGTAAATAGGTATTGGGTGATAGGGAGAAACTGATTCAAACAATTCTGTTAAACGATTTTCATCAAGAAAACACTCACGTGCCACAAGTTCCTTCAATTTCCTTACTTATTTTCTTTTTTATCAGATTAAATACCAACAACAAGAAAAAGTTTATTCGTAAATTCAGTAAGACTGTATTATCCCCTGAACATCTTGGAAATAACCTAATTAGTAAAAATACACCTGAATACACTTTTAGTTTCACATTTCTAGTGTGGTGTGTGCTACTGATTAGATTTATCAGTAGTACATGGAGAGAGTTTCATCAGCATAAAAATATCAGATAGAGGGGGGATAGATTTGACTTTAGAGAAAGCAAATGATTCAGCGTTGCGGAGAAACATGGGAGACGTGAAAGGAGCACAAAGAAACACAATATGAAAGATTGACTGACTGATTTCAACGTAGAACTTTGCACAGATGTGCAGCAGTTCGAGTCACCACACTCCATGTAGCACACAAAGCAAGAGAACAGAGATATGAGGCAAAAAGAATAGTAATATGGAAGAACAATAGAATTTTATCGGATATTATAAATCATAAAGGATGAATGCATTTGCACCATCAATAAGAACGATTTCGAGCCATATCACCAGTTGTCTCCAGTCACTGATTTTTATCATCCCAAGGACTCCAACCACGAAGTCTACACCTCTTTATGCGACTGGCTTAAACCAACTGTTGTGGATTTCATTGACTGAAGGGGTCATGTTTTGGTTTGGCCACCAATGGCTAGCTCTTTTCCAACCTGATCCATCCTATGTCAGCTAACATTGTCCATTGAGGAAGGCGATGACTAGGCAGGCATGCGTAACACATGTCCTAACCATCTAACCCAGTTGACGTAACTTCACAACCTCATTGATTGATTTCATCTCCTTACCTAGCATTCGAACAATGCCTAACCTCAGTATCGCTCACGTTATTATATCAATTAACACGGGAGATAGAACGCAGACACCTATGATCAAAGACAACTAGCTGGCCTTTTCATGTCTTCCACTTTCAATGGCCAGGTCTCACAGCCATAAAGGAGGACACAGCGAACTGCTGAGCAGTGCACACGCCCTTTGATCGACAGCCGAATATCACGTCTACGCCAGAGATGAAGGACAGAAGTAGCCCAACACGTAAGACATGTGCAAATGGTGATTTGAAGATAAGGTGTACATAACTTCGCTATATAGTGATACCAAATTCCAAATAAACACTCCTTTACCAAATCTCTGGTATTCTACCGTTACACTGTAACTTTATTTTCTGAAATCTTAATGTCAAAACTCATTTATCTAAAAAGTGTCATAAGGAAAATAATATACACCTAAGAATAAAAATGTATTTTCAAATATTAGTTTATAGGGATTTTGTTTGATTGGTTGGAGGATTCCATCATGAGCTGAAATCACTTAGAGAACCATTAGAAAACCAGGGAGAACTGGACAGCTGTTTCATCCTAGTTCGAAACTCTTCATCAGTACGCACCCACCGGCTCATGAAGAAATCCTCCAACCAACTTTGGAAATTAACCATTCAGAAGGCTTAGATTACTTCTATCACATCAAATAATTTGTTTTGTACCGCTGTCACAGCCTTACGCTATATAAAAACTTTCTTAGTATAAAAACACACGCTTTTCTTTTGCACAATCAGGTAAAATGTTACCTTATATTAGATTAAATTATTATTATTCCCTTAGGTTCCGAGTGGAATACAGAGCTTCAACAGAACATCTCCATTCTGTCTTATTTTCTGCAGTCCTCTTTAGTAGGCCCCACGATCGCCCGCAAGCTTTCATCTTCTCTTCATGCAATCCCTTCCATGTCACACTCGGACGCCCCACCTGTCGTCCCCTATTCGGGTCCCACTCGAGCGATGGCATGGCGCACGATGTCACTCGACAGTCTCCTAAACATATGTCTGATCCATAGCCATTTTCTACGGCATATTTGTTGAGCAATCGATTCTTGGTTGATTCTTTCCTAGAGTTTCTTGTTGCTAGTTCTCTCTAGCTATTCGATCTTCATTAGGGAGCAAAGGCATCTGTTGATAAAGTCTGCAGTCTGTTTAGATTAAATCACTCCAATATATTCATTCACTTGAAATGTCGAAATCACTTGTCATGAGCTGTTTGTAGTGTGACCAACTATTTAAGTATTAATAATTCGTTCTCGAACCTAGAAATCGATATTTTTAGTTATCTGAAAATGAAATTTCAATACCTTCTTTTTTTAGTTATTTTATAATTACAGATATTTTCAAGTATTGGTTTTCTGTAAGGATTTAGTTTGATCGGTTGGAGGATTTCATCATGAGCTGACATCACTTAGAGAACCGTTGGAAAACCTGGGAGTGCTGGACAGCTGTTTCACCAGCCTAGTTTGTGACTCTTCAATACGCACCCACCGGGGCTCGAACCCAAGACCTTCTAGTTACAAGGCTAGAGAGCTCATAAACCATTAAGACACTGGGACCCGACTCCTCAATGGCCAGCCCATGAATTCTAACTTCTGCCATTTCATGACATAGCGCAACTACTTCGCAATGTCTTCTTAGATGAGTTACTGCCACACCGTCAACCTGCTGCACCCTACTGGTCACGGCTTCCCACTAGAACCCCAGGTCATTCACTGCCTGAATAGGGCCAGTCGCTAGTGAGCATCAGATGAATTTTCAAGTATAGGTTTTTGATTGTTTGATGTTGGAGGATTTGATCATAAGCTGACATCAGGTTTTCCAATGGTTCTCTCACTGATGTCACTTATGATGAAATCCTCCAACCAATTACAGATATAATTATCAGTGTATATAGGGAATAATGATATTCTGATTATTTTTATCTCTTTCTTGATTTAGTTCTATTCCTGTCGGTGTATCTGGTGCATACTGTACAAGTCTACCATCATGTCAACTCTTACAGCCTATGTGTAATGGAAGTACTTACATTCCAAGCATGAATCATCGAATGTTATCACCTGATCATTCATCTTTCTTAACTGGATGTCCAACATTATTACCAACCTCGGGTTTAATTCAAACACCACCACCAGATTTTATCCCTGAATCGATTAATCTACAATCTTGTGACCATAATAATAATAATAGTTCAATAAGAAGTAATCATAATCATAGTAGTAATAATAATTATCTTTTCTCACCATCTAATAACCATTTACTAGCAAATCTTCCACAGATTACAACACTTGATTTAACCAATGGTATACCAGTGCATACATCACCGCATAGATTATGCTCTGGTGGCGGTGGTGGTGGTGGTGGTACAGGTTCTCTGATTAGTGGTCAAAGTTCACTAGAAACTACATCATGTACACCTGTAAATTCACACCTATCTCGAAGTGCTCATAATTCAGTAATATCACCTGATCAACAGTCAATAGCCACGACGACGACAACAACAACAAATCGTTCAGATCATATGATGTCAATGAAAAATGACACATTACCGAATTCATCACCTGTATCTTATGGAATGAATACATCTATCCATGGAATAGCTTATTTAATTAACGATCATACAACTAATGTTTAAACATATAAAAAATATCTTTGATGCATAACAGTTATAGAAGTTGCTGTGCCTTAGCATAACCACTACCACCCCCTGCCCTCACGCCTAATAATAATTCCCTGTTAATATTGGCTTCCATTATTATTTCTTCTCAATGCCGCCTAGTCGTATGTTAAAGTGGTAAATGTTAACTTCCTTTTTTCTTTCTTTCTTTCTGTTTTATTGTCCCCTTCTTTTTTTTCACTTCACTTTACAAAGTATCCCTTTTAATGTGTATAATTGTACTATGGGTATAAAGTCTTCCGTCACATATACTACACATATAAATATTGTTTTTAAAAAAATATTAAGAAATGTCCTTTTTCACTGAATGTAATCACCAAAACTGTTGTTAAAGATGTTATATCACACCCTAATAAGAATGCGGATCACAACAAAAAAGATATCTGACTACTGCCACTCGAGATGAGATTACACGTTAACTTATTCTAAACATCTGAAAACTGTATAAAACTAAACTACAGAGAAAAACAAAGGCTCCCTCCAATTTTTTAAGAGTCAATGATAAGGGAAATAAGGGAGAAAATCGGTGAAGGACAAAATCAACTGAGTACTACATTTGAAGTAATTTGGTGGGCAGTGACTAGCAGCAGTAGAATCTAGGATGCGCATTTCGTCTGACATGAGACTCATCAATCTGGATGTACCTGTTCTTGTGGGCCAAACGATGGGTACTGAGTTCAAGCCTCAGTGGGAACATCATCACTCACTGGGTAATGCGGGCATTTCTGGATGAGGAGTCTAAAAAAGGACGAAATGAGCATCCAAGATTCCACTGCTAGTCATCATCCACCAAATTACTTCAAGTTAATCTTCAGAAGTCGTTGAAGCATCCACACAAGGAGTCAGCACTTTCAACAGAGGCAGAACATTTCGGTTCAATCAATCAACCGGAAAATCAAAATTGAATTTACGACAAATGAGTACTACATTACTGAGGTGCTTGACAATAGTGAACTTTTATCTAAAGGATTATTAAAGTAGATGGTTTGATAACAAATGAAACGAAAAAATGAATGTGCATGAAACTGTATATTCGTAAGAATGATAACGTACTAAAGGAAAAAAGCTAAATGTGTAAGATAATAAAATCAAAAGAGATTAAATGGCATCATATTAATATATGTGTACAACTTATTATGCATTGGAAAGTCAGGAAGGGGAGCTTCCAATGTTAGATTGTAGCGTAAAAGGAAAAAAGATGGGAAGTTAAACACTAGTGTTTACAGAAAACCCACACATTCAAACAGATATTTGGATTTCCGATCATCCCATCTTATGTCAGTGAAAATAGGATTGGTGAAATGTTTAAGTGATAGAGCACAAAAACTAAGTAGTACCAAGGAAAATCTAAGACAGGAAGTGAGGCATATAAGAGAAGCTTTGAAACTTAATAATTACCCTGATAAATTAGTCAGAAAGTATGTAGGGAAATGTAAAAATAAAATAAATAATGATAGTAGTGATAGTGATGATGACAATAATAATAATAATAGTAATAATAGTGACAACATGCATGTCAAACATGAGCAAGATGATGACAACACTAACAATAAGGAATCTAAATCATCAGTAGTAATTCCATACAAAGAAGGAAACTCTGAAACCTTACGCAGAATTCTTAACAAGGCAGGAATAAAAGTGGCATTCAAACCCACAAACTCAATTCGAAATAAGCTTTGTCAGTTAAAGGATCCTGTGGAGCCTTTAAAACAAAACAATTTAGTTTATCTAATTCCCTACTGCAATGATTGTCAGGTCAAATACATAGGTCAAAGTAGTAGGACAGGATCAGTCAGACGAGCCGAGCATAAAAACCTAGCAAAATCTAGATTAGTTGACCTGAATAAGATAAGAAATCTAGAGAATAGTTCAGCTATACCACTCACTACATGCAATTACACACAACCATACAATAGGATGGGATAAGATGACAGTTTTAAAATCTAATGTCAACAGGGTGGAGGGAGAGATTGATAACGGAAGCCTTGTTTATCGAATCAACTGCAAATACGTGCAATAGGAATGATTCAACACCTGTCCCAGATATCTAGAAAATTCTACTACCCCAACGACGACAAATAGGAGAGAACAAAGAAAACTATAAAACTCAAGTTTCGAAGTCGTGTGATTATAATTGATATGATTATGAACAATAAATTTTGTTCGAAACGTCAACCAGTAAATAATACTGTTTCACTGTGTGATACATCTAATAAACAAACTAATATGGAATAAAGTGACATCACCTTGAACTGTTCAGCTGTATATAACTCATGTATTTTAAACTAAAGACTACCTAGATTCACTAAGCTTTTGTTGTAATTGTAATGTTACTCATAAACTAAGGGATCACTCCGGCTGGTAACCTTCAAAAACATCATTCCTGTCCATCAACTTAAGCCTAAATCAATCCCTCACTATGTAAATCATTATCTTAAAATATTTCTTGCTAGATGCTACAGCCTACAATGGAATATTCATGCATAGTTGTTATTAGCATGAAGCCCATTTCATATCGACTAGGTAGTAGATAATTAGTAGTGAAATATTAATTCATATGAATCCAAAAATGATACTGTTACTATATTTGTCCCTGATAATACATTTATTCTACTGCTCTATTTTATTGAACGAATGAGTTATAGAAGTGATCTTAAATGCACGAATATATGAAAGTGTCATGAAAGACTGAAATTAAAACTTGCTTAGATTTGCATATGTAGCGACAGAAACCATCTTTGTTGGAAGATAATTTCGAACAATAAATACCGTGTTTGGTAAAGCTCAATCTTGAATAAATATGCTGCTTTACTGGCTTAGAGAAGTGAATTTCATCTGAAGAACATCCGACTATTGGTGTAATCTGATCGAGTTGTTACTTCACAGAATGTTAACTTAAAATTGTAAGACTACAACAAGAAATACGTTATTTCTCAAGGATATATAGTTCATTTCATGCGATATCGTGTTACGTAAAGCCTTTGATTTACTAATTGATAGACAAATTCCTTCGAAGTAAGTTTAGTTGGTCGTTGATTTCTGGATACAGTTCGAACGTTAATATGCATTATAAAGACGTCACACTGGCACATAGGTATTTGAAACACATCCAAGAATGTTACTTCGGTATTCCTTAGAAACAGTCATAGGAAACTCAGCCAGTTTCACAATCATGAATGTGATTCATCTTATAAATCTGACATATAATCCACCGAATAATCGAAAGCTGTCATGAAGAACTGGTTTAACTAATGTAAACGCTTTTTATTAAACAACGATTCCAGTAATAGGGAATCTAAAATAACTAATTCTGATCACTCATACAGTGAGAACCATCTAACGTATAGGTATAACATCTAAATTACGGTAATAATGAATAAGCTCAAAAAGGCGAAAATCATGTACACAGAATCTAAAACAACTAACAGAAATCGACATTCAAGCACTTTCAGTGGGATTAGAAAATAAATCATATGCACCATTGTAACAGACTTGGATCTACGTCATCCGATATCTATAATCAATGAATTTAGATATCCTATCATAAGAACCTCACCAAAGTAGGTTGAATATTCCTAACTAAAATTAAAGGGGCTTTGACAAATCTTATCATGTCTGTAAGTATAAAAGGAATCTCCTTAAACCTAGTCACATTCCAACTATGGCACATTCAAGTCAATACTGATCCAATATTTACAATATGTCAATTGACTTGCATATTCTTCCGGAAATTTATTTCCACTCTCAGAATTACTTACTGAATAATATGATCAAAGTCAGGGAATGATAAGAACGCATTAGAACTATTATATCCCAACAACAGTGACTATATTCCACTCTTACATTAAACAATAAAACTAACTTATTATCGTTCATACTTTATGACAATATATAAGGCATTGTATGTAGGATGGGTATCGGTGGCACAGAGGTAGAATGCTCACCGACCACGCATGTGGTCCTGGGTTCGATCCCCGGCCACAGACGCACTCCTCCTTTACCTCGCTAAGCCAATAATAAAGCTGGTAAAGAGGAAAGGTTGTGCGTGAGGCTAGTAATCCCATCCCGTAAAAATAAACACCACTGCTACAGAAACTTCAAGCCTCTAGCTTGAAGCCCTATGTTCCACTGGGAATGTGAAGGAAAGAAAAAAATGTAGGATTATTAGTTTCCAACCAAAGCGTTATCCACTAATAAATAGGACGAAATGAGCATCCTGGATTTTAGTCACCAACACTAATTAAATTCTAATTAAATGCCCAGACATCGTCGAAGCATCTGCTCAAGAAACCGAAAAAGAAACAAAGACTGAGCACTTCGGTCCAATCAATCGACGGGAAAAATCTAAAATTCAATTAAATCAATATGACCCGTTGCACAAGAGGTGGCTCTCGTGGCCCAAGTGGTCTAGTGGATAACGCTTTGGCGTTGGAAACTATGGGCACTGGGTTCGAGCCTCGGTGGGAACATCATCACTCACTGAGAAATGCAGGTACATCCAGTGACGAGTCCCAAATAGGACGAAATGCGCATCCTGGATTCCAATGCTAGTCACCATCCACCAATTAAATGTAGTAAAATCCTTTTATAAAGTGCATCTACTTCGAAAGAAAGTACATATATTTTACAGAAGCCATTCACAAAATATTATGGAAAGTATCAACTTTTATTTCTACTGAAATTTCAAAGGTAATCAGCTTTGAAACATAGACATGACTTTGCACACAATTTATTAAAAAACAAAACATCTCTGTTTCAAGTACACATGATGTGAACGAAATAAGAAACAAATGAAAATCTGATGCCAGCCAATCAAAGATTGAATGAATGAAACCTCAAGGTACAACTTTAATATAATGAACACAGAAAACTTAACATTGACAACTATAAGTCTTTATTATTCTCGCATTCTGTATTCTTCTTATCACTAACAGATCTGTTCTCCACTACATTGCCTGAAAGTTTAACAGATTTCAGTGGTAAAAGTCGAGGTTTACACAAAACTGGTTCAACACTTTTCCTTTCAATGCAAAGCGTTTGGTTTTGAAGTATATAACTGGTGTCATCAGTTACTTCCATGGCTATTGTGATAGCGTTTTCTCAGTTGTCCAGCGAGTGATTCTTTATACTAGAAAAAGTTTAATAGAAGTAAATAAACTGAACAACAGAAAAGAATTGTAGAAGAACACTGATTTAATTAAAATATTTATTTGTAACAAATAAATTAATTACACATAGCCATAAGAACCGATAACATAAATTTTCTGGATGCAAGATATAATTAATATGAAGGTAGCATGGATGGGCAATCATTAAATCAAAAAACAAAACACATCGAAAGATACTCTTTTTAAGTCAACTACACAATAAGATGAAGCATATTTTATTTGGTTGGCATTCGACTTCCAGCCAAGAGATTATCGGTTTAAAGTCTCTTTAACTCACCAAAGTTTTGATGTAATTTCTCGCCGTATACTTAAAAAAATGAATACAGCTCACGAATTACATAAAAAATGACTATTAAAAGCATTGAGATGAAGAGTAGAAATGCACAAGAAATTCAGGAGACTGCGTCTTTAACTAATGCCTTACCTAAATGAAGTCAGTTTGAAAAGAAATCTCAGAGATCTACGATTTTTGTTTTTAAAAAACTACTTTGCTCCTAATTATGTCTACACCACAAAAGTTCGTCTACAACTAACATTTAATAAAAAGTTAATCTGAACGAAGAATATTCTTTTCAATGATTTCTCTTTAGGTTCTTACAGTTATAAAATACAATATTTGTTGTCGTTACAATAATGGCCAGTTATGCGGCGGATACATTTTTTACATAGAATAACAGATTAGTTAAGGGAGATACTTCTGCGGAGATTCTATCGCAACGTTTAACCAGGGCGATAAAGAAAACTTTCTACTCTGCACATCTGTCCCTATCCTTCAGTAGCCGTTCAGTATTCACCCAGCAACTCAAAGATGTCTTACCTAACCTTAGCTCTTCTTCATGCATATGCCATTTCAACAGTTCCTGTGGTTCAAGTTATATAAGGCGCACGATTAGGCAGGTTCGAGAACATTTACCAGCTTAGTTCAGCAGGGGGGAAATTAAGTGCATAAAAAGCTCGATCCTGTCACACTTGGTCGCTACTGGACATAGCATCGACACCAACACAGCTTTCAGGGTTATATACCGAATCCCGAAGTCGTTATCGCGTACCGTTCGCTTACGTCTGATACACATAGCTGAAGCTGTTGCAATAAGATTGACTGAACCGGAACTTTGTATTCAAAAAGAACACGTCCAGACGCTGTTCCTACCGTGGCCAAACTTGGATTGATGATTCTTCTTCTCACTAAGAGTGCTTCTTCCCCTTAATCCTCTTGGTTTTTTTTCTTTCTTTGCTTATTATTACAATTATTATTATTCGTCATAATTTATGCCCTTCATGCAAACATTCTCTCAATACTATCGAATTTTCCATTTATACTATCCGGACTTATTATTAGTGATATTATCTCTTTTCTCAATATTGCCTCCACCTGTTTCATTTCACACATTCGTTATTTCATTATGAACCTCTCATTGCAGTCTTACTATCTCCTCTTTAATACATACCACTTTGTACTAGCCACCCACCTGACACATTTTATAACCTTGAACTGACTCGTCAATTTTCCTACCCCACATTCTACAAATCTATTATGACTAATCACCACTATTGTCTCCAATTTCACAATATTTTATAATCGATTTCAGCCTAGCACGTTTGTCACACAAAAACGACTATTTATTTTGACACCCATAGCTAATCTGTTATTCTACGTAAAAATGTATCCGCCAAATAACTGACCAATATCGTAACGACAACAAATATTATATTTTATAATTGTAAGAACGTGAAGAGAGGAAATTATCGAAAAAAATATTCCTCGTTCAGATTGACTTTTAATTCATGATATGGGAATATTTCACACTATTAAATCTTATAACGTTTAATTACTGATGTATGCAAAAAAGTGTTATCGGTATACTAAAGACAGGTAGAATTATATGGCAATATCATAAGTATTGATTCTACTTTGTTCAACTGAATCTTTAGTGCAATGTTGAATGCTAAATTTAAGTCTTAAAAGAGAACTATGCATTTTAATGCTCTGTATCTTTACCCTTCTGTGCGTCGGTGGCACAGAGGTAGAATACTCGCCAACCACACATGTGGTTCGGGGTTCGATCCCCGGCCACAGACGCACTCCTCCTTTACCTCGCTAAGCCAGTAATAAGACTGGTAAAGAGAGAAGGTTGGCCATGAGGCTAGCAACCCCATCCCGTAAAAATAAACACCACTGCTACCAAAAATTCAAGCCTCTAGCTTGAAGCCCTATGTTCCAATGGGAATGTAAAGGAATAAAAAAATCTTAACCCTTATTAGGATATGAAGATGTGTACACTACTTTTGATAATTCTTATCGTAAATTCTTGTCCGGAACACCTACTATAAGCCATGTAACTTATTTAACTGTATATATCTCATTTTTAAGAATCGATGTTCTTTTAATTGACAAAGATCATGATTAAGTGCTATCTTCTTGTTACCTTTAGTGTGCATTTTAAATGTAAGTTATACCTTAGTAAACGAAAAACGTATATCACAGAATGGTGTGTGGCTCACCGCATGCGCTTCGCAGCTAACAGTCTAAAAGCTGAAAAGTGATGAAGAGAAACAACAGTAACACAATTACAAATACGCCTTTTATTTGAATAGAATAACTATGAATTAGAGACTCTTGTATCCTTTATTACTTTCATACCAGATTCATCCTTGATATATGAAACAAAAGAATTTTGACAGTCAAATAATTCTACTTTGTGCGTCACATATTTTAGCCAGTCGTCAGGTTTTGCTTCAGTGAACGGAAGAACACTTGGGCGTAGTATCTCGTGGGCTTCACTATTTAAAGAACTGTTAGGATCACATCCTTTAGACAAATAAGCATCAGGGAAATGTCGCATAGTTGCAATACAAAGAAGTTGAAAATCCACAACCAAACGAAGCAAGACACCCATCAAAATTGAGTGATGATTAGATAGATTTCGCCATGAAGTGCATCGTAATCTTTCCAAGTGGGAAAATGCATTCACTGCACTTATTATTAAACACGATACCGGATGGACTTTGATAACTTCTCGAGAAACATATACAGACAGAAGGAGTTCACAGTCAGTAAACACACGAAGAATATGTATTCTAGATAACATCTGTTAACGTGAAAAATTATAAAAAGGAAATAACAAACCTCACTTATAAGCAACTCATATTGACTGTTTTCAAATTTTGAAGTAGGAATTTTATTTTGTAAGTGACTTTTAACAAAATCAGTAAACTGCGATGCACAGAATCGACCACCACAGTCAATAAGAAGACAATGTGTGTTATAACCGTTCAATTGAAAACCATTAAAGTCTTTAGGAAGAACGCATTGCATTAATATGGAGTATATAAATCCTGAGCATTCACAGGAATATGGCTGAAAAACCCCTACTAAGGACTTTCCACTCTGAGGAGCGTATTTCTTCGGGAAATAATCAAACAGCAAAGGATCAATGTAAGGTTTTCTTCGCGAACGAACCAACAGCTATAAACTCGAAATCATAGAAAACAAAGCAAACACATTAAATATGAAATGTTTGAAAGGAATATGAGGTAAAAAGCAACCAAAGATCATTGCAGTACTCGAAAAACACTACTAATACAGAGGATGAGACAACTTAAACGCGGAGCTGACTTTGAGATAACCTTCAGACCAATGATTAAAGTGATATATCTATAAAGAAAAATGAGTTGACTATCCTTCTCCCATTTTTCTCACGTGCTGTGAATGAAATGCTTGGAAACTACACATATAATATAGGTGAAGTGAAGATATCACTAAAAATACTTCGTTGATTACCTTACCACTCATTTTCAATAACCAGTTTTCAGGATGAAGTACCAGTGGTATAGGAAGAACAGGTTTCCATAGCCTTGTGGAGGTTGCCGAATATTTAACAAATTATCTCTCTTATCAGAGTATTTCTGACCATAAAATACTTATTCAACAGTTTTATTCAACACCACAAATAATTTAATGCCGATAATGATCAACAATGCAATCCCCTATTTGTGCCAACTAGCACTTATACATAACTGCACTGTAAATCAAGTCTCGCCTTACAGACTTCAAATCTGTTGATTGTTAAGTCCTATTTTCTGAATTCTATCCAACAACTGGATAAACAATATACACTCGGTAAGAAAGTGAAATTTTCGTTACATAAGCTTAATTCATGGTCTCCAGAATAATCGTTTCAAAACAACTATTCTTTTAAAGCGTACACTAAGCCCACTAAAGATCTTCAGTCTTTTACCCATAGTAGGTACAGAAACGACTGGTCTTCACAGCTAAGACTTATTTATTTCAGTCCTGTACACGTATCTCACAAGAAATAGTTGATGATGAAACCGTTTTAATGAAGAGAAAGGTCAGCCGTGGGAGAATGAGTTGACTCAACCGGAGTTCTTGATGCACATGATACCACTTTTAAAAGGAATTCACGGAAAGTATACCGGATAGAAGCGTAATAACGTTTATTGCAATCATATAGCCCTTAGTTATTCCAAAAACAATGATCCACGCGTATTGAGGACCGATATTTACAACATATAGTAAATAATTCGTTAGACTTCATAGATTTTAACGCTAAAACATAACACTTCTGCAAAAGGCTTTTACGCACATTCAGACATTACAATAAGACCAATGATGTACAGCAGCTATGTTGTAATAAGAACCAGTCCAGGAGTATATCATACATCCTTGATCCCCCCCCCTACAAGCTGATCACGTCTACACTCTCGCCCTAAAACATATCTACAAGTGTTATTAGGTCAAAATTCGGGTCACCTCATAGAAGTATTTACATGACATTTGAGGTGAATCAGAGATGATGCAGGAACAAATGGGTCACAGCTATTTATTTCATATTAGTTACATATGAGTGAACTAACAACTTGATATGTACATTACTCTATAAAATAACTATGTATTCACATTTATATGCTGAAATAAATATAATATATTATATATTTCATGTGATTTTGTCCGTGAGGATAGACGTTACAATACAATCTCTAATTCATTTAAATAACAATGCATAATAATTAATCCGAAAAGCACATGTCACAGATGTTCAATTTTGTTTGATTCTCACAACTTCAATGATAACATAAGAAGTCACGACTATAATTTGCATTATACTCATATTGTTTCCAAATAAGTCCCTAGCTATAGCTATAGCACACTGCGGATACTTTGAGGCACACTTCGGGCACTCTGCAGAAACTCTGCGGCAGACTGCAGATAACTATCCCACTTTTTGCAATGCTCCCGGAGAAAATGCTAGCTGGCCATAAGGCCAGTTTGCAAATAATTCTTTCTATAGAGTAAAACACGCGATATATCTGGTGACTTTGCTGAGGCATATCAGTTAGGGATAATACTGAATGAATTAACTAAGTCCTCCGTCACAAAGATTGTTAAGTATAATTAAATCAACACAGTATCCAAGCTAGCATTGGCTTCGGGCGCATTATATTATGCTGTGCAACAAATCCACCCCACGCAAATCTGACAAACATTATTAAAGCTAAGGAAGTTCTGATTTTCCTAGAATTCATGAATAAAAATATGTAGTGAGATAAATCCCCACATAATTGTGGAGTATTAATACTCCAAAACTCTTGGATCTACAACGAAATAAAACTATTACTATTGGACGCGAACAAAACTCCTTCAAAAATTGTCAAAGGTAGACAACAGCGGTAAAACTAAAAGCAAATACTCACCACAGACCCTGTTTCAACTGAAGGACAGGCTGGTATCATGTTGCCATGGTAAACGTTAAAGTGTCCTTGAAAATTCCAGTTACCCGCTTGATATCCAGTAAATTCAATATCGTTTTCACGAGCTAGTGTAAACCAAACTGATTTCTTCGTGCCAGCTTACTGGTCGCATAGTGAAGGAGCCCCAAGTCATTCGTAAACTCCTCGCTTGTGTTTGTCGTCAAATGACTGTTGTCAATTCGTTTGACTCCAATATCCAATATCGTTTTTATGAGCTAGTATAAACCAATTTGATTTCTTTGTGCTCGCCTCTTGATTGTGAGGTAAAGGTTTTTATTATAGCTTGATTCCACACAGTATTTTGGTACAAGTATGAAATTTTCAGCTTGTGATATTGGTGGGACCGCCTCGACCATGTGTATGGTCGACGAGAGTCCTAACCGCTGTGCCACCGACGATATTTACTTCTTTGTGCTTGCCTGTTGATTGCGAGGCATAGTGTAGTGACCCATTTTATTACTCATAATCGTACTATACTTTCATTGTGTAATTGTACTTCGATTTGTTTATTACTCTAAATCTGGCATGTTAACAATTGATACTTTTTGTACTCGCTCGATTTTTGAATTGTTGATTGCTGCAATAATACACTATCGTATTCCTTCGCAAGTGCCTTTTGAATTACGTTGCAGATGTCGAGTAACGCAAGTTAGGTCACAATTATGAACGCGAAGAAATACTAGAATATACGTGTACTCTAGTTCAGTCAAAATATAGCAGCAACAATAGAATCCTGATCTTCGGTAAACTTCTGCGTTGCTCGTCCCGCCACTTGACTGTCGTAGCTTTGGTTGACTCCAAAAGGAGTAGTGCTGGGATTAATTATATGTGGTTTGTAGTATGAGGTGTGTTAAGACTGTTACTACTGTGAATGGAGTTGATCCTTTCACCAGTTAGTCCTCTGGTATCGTCGTTAAAAAGAAAAGAGATAACAATAATAGTAATAATAATGATAGATATAATTAGTGAAGTTATTCAGACTAACAGACAAAAAAGAAATAAAGAAAACGTAACAACAGTCAGCTGATTAAATTTGAAGTTGATATATATACATCAGTAATAATAATGAGTGTGTTTAAAGTCATCAGAACAGTAAGACGGGAGAGAATGTAAAGAAGTAAAATGACGAACTTAGTTGTCTACCCCTGAATGGTGTATGCGATTTTAAGGGGATAGGCCATTTGGATGCAGTCCTTGTGTCGCTGCATGATTATCCAGCCTTCGCTTAAAGGCGTCCACAGACGGTGCCATAGCTACATCTGCCGGTAAGGAATTCCAGGGACGGCAAACCCGCAGGGAAAAGAAGTGGGAGCGCACCCGGGTCCTTGCTCACTGGTGAGCTATCCTCCTAGGATTTCCACGAGGGAGCCTATACCTACTCAATGGAAGAACACCTTTGTTTGGGTGATTCTGATCATTTGTTATTTTGTAGGCAGTAATTAAATCCCCCTAAGACGACGGTAGCTAATTGTGAATAGGCCTAATTTCTTCAGCCTTTCATCATATGGTTTATTTCGGAGACCAACCACTCCTTTTGTTGCCCGTCGTTGGACTCTTTCCAAGAGTTTGGCGTCTCTTCTAAGCAGTGGGGGTGCAATGATATTATGCACTTCAAGGTGTGGTCTGACGTATACTTTGTACAACCTTAGAAAGAGCTCAGGAGTGAGTGCACCTAACTGTCTATGTGTTAAGTGTATAACCGCATATGCCCTCGCTACATCCCCCGTGTAATTTACGCTTGTGTCCATTTTCTCCGTTAGAACTAGACCTAAGTCGCGCTCCGACGTTGTGCAGGACAAGCTTTGATTGCACAGGGTGTAACTTGCATTCTGCAGTCTACAGGTGCGTAACTTCACTACTTTGCACTTTTTCAGGTTGAAAGTCATGCCACTGGCCACCGCCCAGTCTTCCAGAAGCTTTAGATCTGCCTGCAACCTATCTGAGTCCTCCGGACACTTTATCGCCCTCCATATCTTTACGTCGTCAGCGTATAGAAGAGTCGGGCAGCTTAGACGGCATGGTAGATCATTAATAAAAATCAAAAACATCAGTGGTCTTAGGATAGAACCCTGCGACACTCCTGATGACGAGCTGTGCCAAGATGATCGGACTCGATTGACCTTAGTGCAAAATTGCCTTTCAGCTAGGTAGTCCTTTAACCATGACAGAAGTGGCTTACCTATACCTGCCTGGCTTATTTTGTGTAGGAGAAGGTCATGGTGAACAGTGTCGAATGCCTTCTCAAAGTCTAGGAAGACCACATGGACTGGAACATTCATATCCCAGCATGATGTCCAATCGTCCCAAGCTGATAGTAGGTTAGTAACACAGGATCTCCCTTTCCTGAAACCGTGTTGGGCTTCATGGAGTATATTAGACCTATCGAGGTAATCCCTGATGTGATCGTCAATAATACTTCCCAGTACTTTTGATACCACTGGGAGTAGAGCTACTGGTCTATAACTAGTGACATTTTGCCTATCCCCACCCTTGAAGATCGGAGAAAGGATGGCTCTTTTCCACTCCCTTGGCAGTTTCCCCGAATCCATCGAGTGTTGGCACAAGTCGCATAAGGGCCTACAGAGAGCTTCGGCGCACTGTTTCAGAACAGATGGCCTGATGTCGTCACAACCTGGGGACTTCCCAGGTGTGAGTCGCTGTAGCTTCCTTAGTACTATTGCAGGGTTTATTTGGGGAGTAGCCATTAGGTCTTCCTCCTGTGAAATAGTAGTGCCACCATTTTGGTCCGTAACGGTAATACCCACATTGCTGTTTAGTTGTTTGGCGAAGGCTAAACTGAATGTTTCAGCCATCTCCAGACTAGTGAGATATTGACCGTTTGGGCCTACTAAGGAGCATGCCCCCTGGTTGGTTGGTTTTCTTTCCGACATGAATCGGTACAAGTTCTTGGGGTTTGCTAGGAGCTTTTTAGCAAGTTTAGCCTGGAATGACCTCCTGTCCCTCCTGACTCTTGCATTGCACCGGCTCCTGAGTTCCAGGTATGCATCGTGGTCAATCTGACTCTTAGATACGCGCCACGTAAACCAAGCCTTCCGCTTTGCTTGCAGAATACGTTGCGTGCCTCTCTTTAACCGTGATGACTTTCTTTTGGGCTGTGTTGTGACTAAAGGGACGGTATCCGAGATTGCTGTATGAATAATCTTTTTTACCACCTCCCAGTGTTCATCCACAGATAGCTCATCCCATGCTAAGGGCCAGTCTGCGTCGGACAAGAGCCTCCACATTTCAGCATAGTCAGCCTTGCTGTAACACAGAAATGGTTGTGTAACGTCCCACTGCAAATGCTCACGGAGAACGAGATCGAAACCTATGACTGCATGGTCACTACTTCCTAGAGGAGTCATGATCTGGACCTTTCCGACGAGTAGTTGGTCACTAGTTAGAATGTAGTCTAGTTTTGATGACTTTCCACTAGGGCCCAACCTAGTGTCGTCTCCAACATTCTCAGTCAGTCCCGTGTTGAGAATAGCTTGCAGTAGATTTCGGCCAAATTTTCCCTTAGCATACCCCGAGCCAAGGTTCAGTGATGGGGCATTGAAATCTCCAGCTATGGTGATTTGGTCATAGCCCAAGTCTCGTATACCTGTGATGATGCTGAACAGTAGCTGGTTGTGCTCTGCCCCACAGGTGGGAGATCGGTAGATGCCACCCAGTAAATGCTCGGTGTGGCCTACGGTGAAATGACACCATATGGAGTCTGGGAGTTCAATAAGTGGTGGGTCCGTTGCGCGCACACATTTAAGTTGCTTGTCAAAGTATATGGCAACTCCCCTTCCTTCCTTATTATCCCTGTCTCTCCTGACCAGAACCATATCACCTATACTGATTTCGTTATCGGCGATAGTGGGGGTTAGCCAGGTTTCAGTGGGAATGTTCATTTTAAGTTGTAGGTGTGATTGGATATTTCTGAGTTCGCCTTATTTTCTTCTCAGTCCTCTCACATTGCTATATAGGCAGCTGACAGTGAGTCTCACAACCTCAGCGTGTTGTGGGGTAGTTGACGTGAAGCTGTCTGCTGGCAGGGGACTTAATTTTGGAACTAGTGTGACGATTCCTATGGAACCGGCCCGTTGTAGATTTTTCCATGAATTCAGGTAGGACACTTGGGTGGCACAGACTGTTATTCTCAGTACTGCATCGCTCCAGTGTCACTGAGGCTTGGGGACGTATTAAAGCCTCAGTTTGCTGCCTCCTTATGTTTCGGGGTCTGCTTTCGCAACATCGGATGTGTCCTCCCATTTTCCCCTTGGTCTCATACCACCGTTGAAGTGCTATGGCCAACTGCTCCGGGGAGTTGAATGTGACACTTAGCAGCTTTGGAGAGCTAATCAGTGTGAGATGAGCGGGGTGAGGTAGTCGGAAAATGGAGATTGCTCCAGAAGCGCCAAGGGCCATCTGAGATGACAGCCATCTCCATTGCTGTACGTCATGTATGTGTTTTTCACAAGCAGTGCCCGTTTCTAGCTCCGGAACACCGTGTACGACCATAGAGGTAGAAGGCATCAGTTCCAGTGACTCCCTCGTCATTTGTCTGTTAGCGCATGGTCTATCATGTCTCACGCTTATGCTAGAACTTCTGTCGATGGCTAGTAACTGAGCCATTAATAGTATTCTTTCGGCCTCTTCGGCAGAGTCCAGTGTGACCCTTAATGGGGGTGGCTTACCCTGAGGCATGTAAGCACCCCTGTACAGCCTGCACAATTTCACTGAACTAATGTTCAGACCTAATTTATTGCACAAGTTGGACCACTGTTCCTGATCAAACAGGGCCCGTTGTTCAAGCAAGCTGTCCTTGCTCACAGGTACATTAAAGAGGATAAGAGAATTAGACCGACTAACCTCAGACTTAGGTTTGGCCTTTGGCTTCTTGTATTCCTTCGCAGGGCCAGTAACTTTAGGCTTCATCAGGTTTTGACCAGCCTTTGCTGTGTTGCCAAGCTTGCTAGTGGATGCAAGTGGAGCTTTGGCAATTCTATCTTTTCCTGATGTTGTGGGTGCAACCTTGGAACTCTTCACTTTTTGAAGATTGGCATTTCCAGTCCGTTGGACTGGAGTTCTTACTGTCTGTACCAAGTTTTGGCAGTGTGGTGTTAGCAGGTGGGGAGCTGCATAAGACTGTGTTGGGACACAAGAGCGGCGTGTTGTTTCTGCTATCCGCAGACACGCTGTGTGGGACTGTGCCAGGGCGACAAAGTGGGTAGATATACCAGAACCATGGGCACGGGTTATTTCGCATAAACTCATAGTACGATTTCGGCACCCCTTTGTCACAACGGCAGTGTACCCATCGTTTGCAAAAATTGCATTCAAATGCTGAGTCAGTTTCAGAAACGATGACACTACACGCCTGACATTCGTCTCCCTTCCTTGATGACGCTTTCGAGGTCTTGTGACGTCTTGGGCGTTTGTTTTTGTTTTGCCGTGTTTCACGCACTGGCTTTCAGTGGATGCAGGTGTAGTATCCTGTCCACCTGGCATTGCCTGTACCGTTTCAGTACTAGACTGTGGCAATGTAGGCGTAGTATCAGAACAGACGAGACCTACACGAGTCTTTAGGATCGGTATGCGGGAAGGGGTTGATGTCCCTGGGTTTTTGCCTTCTCTGGCTGAAGCCCTTGTGACTACAGAATATGGTGTTTTATTGCTTTTTCTAAGGCTACTTTCGACAGCCATATTAACAATCACTGTAACTTATGCTATATACGAATAAGAGAGCAACAGTATCTACCCACAAAAACAAGAATAAGACTGATAAAGTACAAGATAAGGAAAAGAAAAGGTTTTCGACCTTATCTAGTACTTCCTGGATGATCGGCTTCGCAGCAATCACGTGGCAGACCAACAAGTCTTGTTTATCGGAACGAGTGAGGAAGATGCTGCTACAGAAGTGGCACCTGAAGCTTTGGCAGTTGTTCGAGACTGCTGGGTTTACTACACACATATTCAGTAAGTAATGGTTGAATTTAATTCACCGGCTAGGAAGATCAGGTTTCCCAAGCGGATAATTCACAAAATAGGTATTTTCGGTTGGAGAGGAAAAAGCACGTCGTATTCAAGGAGCGCGCACTAGAAAAATTATACCTTTCTATTGTAAAATTATTTCCTGACCTTGACAGCTGCTACCATAGAAGGCAAATATACAACAATTTGAATGACAGAGCAAACTGAGTTGGAAGGAACAATTCAAAGTAAATAAATCACTCATTTCTTAAAATACATAATGCCATCAAACGCCAAGTTCCCTAAAAATATTCAAGGGTCACTTATCCAAGAAATCCGTTCCGCTTAAAGCTCAAGGTATTTATATGCCGCAAATGTCTACATAATTATATCGATTGTGTGTTTCCTTATCATTTCTATACACTTTTACAAATTCGAATAAGTAAAGAACAATATTTCACTCACTGTGAAAGCTTAAATGCCTAACTTTTTGATAAGAACATGAGTTCTGCTTTAATAGAGTAGATAAAGTCTCGTAGCTGGTTACGACTGTAACACTTGGCTGGGGAAGCCAGTGTGATGCAACGACAATGGTGAAGACTCAAATCCTCGAGTGAATGCGAAAGAAGTGAGGAAGGCAACTACAACCCAACAACCATTCAGAATCATTACTTTTCCCAACTGGCCAAAAAAGTAGAACAGTGGGCCTACAAATGGGTTAAAAAGGTGACACCCAGAATTCTAAATAAGCGTTAGTAAAATAGACTATCGTTTACATAGAGGAACCTACAAAAAATTCCTGAACTGTCGCATATCAATATGGGCAGATAATATTAGGGAGCAGTTAAGTGGTTTACAGTCCTTGACCATCCCAGTCAGACAAAGGTGGTGAGTAATTACCATGGTCAATAGTAAGAAAAATGGGTGAATTTTGGTCATATGACAATTTTTCCGATTTCGACTAAAATCTAACCAGTATTTTACAATTCTGACCATTATTGAATCAATATTTTCTTATGATTCAATCAATTTTTTTAATATAACGGAAAAACTCATTCAGACATTTAGAAAAAAATGAGCAAAGAATATCTTTTTCGACAATTTCCACTTCTGGCTCTACAACTATATATATATATATACAGAATATTTTAGAATAATCGTCACTAACAATATTTTTAAATACTATTGACTTGTTAAGATCAATGAAATTACAGTTCACTAAAGACGCATAAGTTATAATAAGCATAAGAATGTAATAGTAAATACAATGTCAAATAAAATTAAGCAAATTTCTACAACAAATTAAAGATCTTTAAAATCTTGATGGCCAAAGTAAGTATAGTGTCTGAACCAGCTTCTTTTGGATGCATATGTTAGGTTTCTTAATGTGGATTCCAACCACTTGAGCAATATGTAGTAGACGAACTTTTAAGGTGAAGTTAAGATTAGTTGGTATACGGTAGATGACTCTGAGAGCCTTGTTAAAACCAATCTTGTATTCTGCATTCACGAGATGAGATATAATAGAACTATGAATGGACTTTGTTTGTCCCTTACTTAACCACGCAGGATGGTTTCGGAAATCCGACGATGAACACGACTAATTGTATGGCCTATGTATCTGGCTCCACAGTAGCAATATTTTTGTCATTTAACCACTGCTTCTCCATGTTAACCATTATTTTCCCTATTAATTAGCTAGAATTTGCTCACTATATTATCATTCTTACCACCTGCCCATTCCTGCCTGACTGGAGCTTCATCCTCTACCTAAGTAGTCCACCAACTTTATCTTGGTTTGTAAAGACTATCTCTAATCTAAAGTGTGTCAAAGAAGCAGAACCAAGTGCTATTGCTAAGTGGTTTTTAAGAATGGTAGTAGCGGAATAACTAGATGAGAGATTGCATTAGCTAATGTATAGGAACCTGAGATAGTTCCATCAGACTGATGTAGATATCTGGTCATTTCAGTTTATAAGAAATTGACTCTTCCTGTGGTAATCACGTGAAGATTAGCTTGACTGACATAGTATCGAAGACTGTTCTGCAGTTCTTCGAAGATTAAAATGCGGGTCCAGAAAATCCCGGAAAGATTTAATAACCTGATAAAGTCTTTTTAATGACATCTTAGCCACTCCACAGGTTCTAGAATGCAGGGTAGTTATATACTTGCCGTATTTACTCATCTGAAAACACCATTTAGGTTCCGTCGACCTACAAGTGTTGGTGTAATAATACTAAATAAACGGGAGTGAAATGGGTAGATGTGCTGATAACTCCATTTATATGGGAAGTGGAATCAGCCTAATAGACTGATTGCTGGTAAAATCCCTGAAGGCTATTTTCGCACTTGTCCACATTGATCATTTTTGGCTTAGGCGTGATATTCGGTTATCAGCCAGAAGATGTGTATTTTGCTGCTTTTTACTATGTCCTACACTAGGGCTGTAAGATGTATTCATTAAAAGTAGAAGACCAGACATTTTCAGTGATTGATTCCTTCGTCCAAATACTGGCGAAAGATAGAGCAACTTGTGTTAGGTTAGGAAGACAAGTTGACTAACAAAATTATGGAGTCTCACTAATTGAGACAGCTACGACATGTGCTACGCTTACTGAACCGCTGCCTTCTTCGATGAATTGTGTTAGTTGAAGTATGGTTAGATTGAAGGAGAATTAAAGGTGGTCATACCAAATTACTATTCATTCAGAGTTTATGTGGAACATAGCACTGCAGAAGCAAACCCCATTGCACTCGATTCTTTGTCATACCCTTTAACTTCCCATAGACTTTCATTTCTTCTTCACGTGTCCCTTTATATGTCCCCATCAGATACTAAATCCGTAGCTTCTCATCCGGATTCCACTCCAGGGCCTGCTTGGCTTGTAATATCACTTGAAGGACTTCTCAGAGTATTTTCAATCCATCTCTACTTCTCTCTTGGGCAGTATGTTCTTGGCTGATTCGCTGGACAGTCAGAGTTCCTTGTTGTTTTTCTTTTTCGGTTGACCATCTAATCTTCAGTAGTGAGCAAAGGTATCTATTGATGAAAGTGTGCAGCCTGTTGAAAATGCGACTTGTGGAAACAATGACTTCAGATAACCGTTGAAAATTCGGATATTATTTCTTGTGTTGTAGAATTCTACAATGGTTTGAGAGTAATGAACACCTGTCTTATTTCCTTGATCCTAGCTTTGACACCCACACTCGTGCCACCCAGCTGTAGTTGAAACGATGCTTCTCAGGTAAGTGAACCAGATAACTTCCTTCTTCTCATTGATGGTGACTCATGTTCGTTGTCCAAGATTAGGTATTCTCATCAACTCTGCCATCTCTATGTTCATCTGAGATTCTGTTTTTGCTGCCAACTTGGTTTCCACCTACAAATATTCAAGTTTGTGGGATGTAGGACATAAATAATCAGGCCAAAACACAGAATTAATCTATGGAGTTATTGAACCTTATAAGTGTAGATTGCATATCTGGTATCTTCAAACAGCTAAGAATCAACGACTGAAGAACCCTGACAATGTAGATTAAAATATTTCACAATGACAGGTACAATGCTGAATCTTTACTAAACAGAAGTTGACAGAATTACAAGTCACTTGTCTTTAAAGATAGAAACACAAGTTTTACTATTGTGTCTTCGCGAGACTACAGTCAACTCTTGTTCGACAAGTACTTCAATCCTAAAACGCAATTTTACCTCTGAAAATCTGTTGACGTAGTTATACACATTATTTTTCACTTATAACAAAGGAATATCCAAAGAACAACTTTAATCTAATATTGAACTACGGTACATAATGTAATCGTTGACATCAGATTCAAGGGATTTCAACTTCATAGTATCCCCTAGCTTTTCACCATAATGTGGATTACTATTATTATTCCCTTGGGTTCCGAGTGGAACATAGGGCTTCAACAACACATTTCCACTTTCTCCTATTTCTGCCGTCCTCTTCAGCTAGGTCTACGACTGACCATAATCTCTCATCTCCTCCATGTCACCCTAAAACGACCCATTCGTCGCTTCCAACTAGAGGGCCTGGCGCACTATGTCATGTGGATTATAAGGGGAAAAAAGTTAAGTGAATATTCCCTTCCAAGAAGTACCAAACTGTTGTGTGATAAGAAAAATGATACAATTCTATTACCTGAACCATACATGTAACACATGTCAGATTTTTAAATTTCATTAAAATTTTTCGATACCAGAAAGCTATCCTAACTTTACCTTTCTACCTTCAGGAGATGATCTAGAAGTGAAAATAAGTGAAGTGTTCGACTTGTTTGACCATGAACGTAACAAAACAATCGATTTCCGAGAACTTGGTACAGTCATCCGAGCACTAGGTGGTGCACCAACTGAGGCTGAAATAGTAGCACTTGTGCGTGAAGTTAGTTTTAAGCTATGCACAGCATTTTAAAGTTCAGTTAGAGAATGATCCGCCAAATGGTTACATTAATTATGAACGATTTCTTCCTGTAATGTTGCAAGCAATGGAACAGAAAAGGTAATTGGTGAAGTTATTGATATCCTATTTCCTTCTTTACAGATTCGAGCCTGTATCAGAGGAAGAACTGCTAAAAGCATTTTCAGTTTTGGATACAGAAAAGAAAGGCTTTTTAACTGCACAAGACTTGGAGACATATATGGTTTCTTCAGGTGGAAAATGATTTTTTTTAAATACCTTATTTTTACGATATTAGTTAGAGAACCATTGAAAACCAGTCCTGGACAGCTGTTTCATCCTAGTTTGGGAATCATCGGCAGTACGCACCACATTGGATCGGGTCCCAGTGGCTGAATGGTATACGAGCTTGCCTTGTAATCGAAAGGTCGTGGGTTCGAACCCCTGTCGGTAGGTGCGTACTGCCGATGATCCCCGGGACTGATTTTCAATGGTTCTCTCTAACTGATATCAATCCGTGATCAACTCGTAATAACAAAACTAACCCTTACACAAACCAACTATAGAAAATACTTTATTGCTTATAATTTTAGGAGAACCATTTACAAAAGAAGAGATGGAAGAGATGCTTGCCGCTGCAACTGATCTGTCAAAAGGGAAGATTATGTATCGCGAATTTGTAATACAATTATCAACATACGATGATAACGCTTAAGATTTTAAAAAATGTGAAATTTTTTTATCTCAAGTATATCATATACGTAAATACAAGCGATTGGATTAGTATTAGAAAATTACTCTTCATAAAAAAAACACGTGTATAACATATTTATAAATATGTATTACTTTTAAAAACATCATATAATATAAATGAAATTGTACATAGTGATTAAATTTTTAAAAATAATAATAATTATAACAATTGAAAACTTGTGTGAATAGTCACTGGAATTATTTACAAGTAGTATAAATTATTCCAACTAAAAGGAATAGTTTCAGTTGAATTCTGAGTACACATGGAATTTTATTTAGTTGAGGAAATAGGCAGAATTATTAGACTAGAAACAAACAAAAAAAAGTATCCTGAGATAAACTATTTAACCACGATAATAATTTACAGCGTCATTATAATGTTCTTTGAACCAAGTTATCATACGATCCAAGGTGGGGAATATTAATTTTCGAAATTTGAAACCATCAGGTCGTATACTGAATAGTTCAAAGTGTGGATTTTTATTGGGCAAATAAGCAAGAATAAAATAGCCAGGACGTTCTTTCGTTGAACTCAAAAAATACGGAATACGATCTGGATTAAGACTTTTCTCATGTTGAAGTAAAGTATTTAAATGATTACGATCGCCACCCTAAATGTAAAAATAACAGAAAAAGGTGTTATGTAACAAGGAGAAATAATACAAAATAGCAAACAAGGCATTTTGAAATGAGTATTACAACTTTACAATGCAATACTTGAACTATTTTCTTTTCATGGAGTCTTAACTAATTTTGGACCATCTGAGATATTTAAAGGTGAATTTTGGATGGTAAAATTATTAGGGAACAAACAGGTTGATTTTCTCAGTAAGTTAACTGCAATTACAAAACGATCGGTTAACCATGCCAGAGATGGCGTAACTTGGCATATGCCAAACCAGCCTTCTGTATCCGTGCTGAGATTTCGTCAGCGATCAACCTGCTGGCGTTGGCTGATACAACTTCCCAATAAGTGAAGTGGTCGACACGCACCACCACTTCACTGCCTATTTTCAAGCTAAGAGTCAATGTAGTCCAGTCCTGTAGTATCATCTTACATTTGACGGGAGTAAATCGCATGCCATACATTCGAAAATTGCTGCTGCTCAAGTTAAGGTGTTCAGAAGACTCTGCATTTTGTCAGCGTCTTCACCTAGAAGGACTATATCATCCGCATATTCAAAGTCAACGAGTAAACAAGATTTGAAGGAAAATAAGTAAAATATAATGGAGATTGGTGTAAAAGACAACTAAAACAATGCCGTTTAATTTCCAACAGCTATCCAGTACTACCATATTCCATAAGTTTATTTTAAACATCACACCGATGAAGTATTAACAACTGATGCATAAATTATTGCTGCTCATAATCATATCAATTTTAGTTACACGGTTTCACAATTTGTCTCTCCAACTTCCTTTTGTTGTTTTTTGCCACTTTCCATATCTCCGGTATAGGCGTTGCGTCATTCCGATTGCACGTGTGCAGTGTTGAATCGATAAACAAAGCTTCAGTGGTTAATCTCTCTCCACCTAACTATATTACTTCTTAATACTCTCACCCTGTCCCACCCTATTTTGTGAATACATGCAAGTGAATGCAATGCAATGGCTGAACTTTCTTCTAGGTTACTAAACTTAGCAGAATCAATTATTCCAGCCATAGCTAATTTTTTATGTTCCAACAATCTAGTTAACCCCGATCTACTAGTTTGACCTATGTAATTGACCTCACTAACAGTCATTACGTGGTATTTGGTAAATTATATAATTTTTCTTAATTGGGTCCTTAAGCCGACAAAGTTTATCTCCAAGAGAGTTGGTTGGTCTAAATGCCTCCACAAGGCCTCTGACGTTCCTTCTTTATACGGTAGAACTACAAAGCCTTCGAATTCTATATTATTTTCGTCACTTTTATTGTTAGTCTTAATTTTTCTATGGTTCTCCATATATTTTTGGATAAATTCCGGTGATTAGTGTGTTATTTACTAATAATATTTCCTTTATTTGTTTGATTTCATCATTTAAATCTTCTGGCTATCTGGTTAGGCTCTTGGCAAGATTATACAGACATTTAACTAAACCTATCTTTTGATACTAGTAACTAGTGTGATGTGTCTAGTCCTCTCTTTGGTGCAGACTGAATTCTATCAGTCAGGTTGTAATGTGGCCACCATTGTAGGTAGCTCGCCATCACGGTGCACATTGATTTGATGGTATTAGATGGTTGGAGGCAATCGGTAGGAAGCCTTGGACCTAGGTTTCGTGCTAGTTGGCACTCGTCAGCAAGGCGTCAACCTATCTTTACCGATTCTGGATGGGATGAATTAAAGTCTAAGTATCTATTAGAGTGTGTCGGTTTCCTATAAATGCTAGTATCTAACCCACCATGTTGTTTTCGTTTTATTCTACAGTCTAGCATGGTCAACTCACCCTGTTCACTTTCTAACTCAGGAGTGAACTGGATTCTGTCTTCTATTGAGTTTATATGTATGAGGAATAGAGGGATATGTTCAGATTTCAACACGGTGAATGTGTCATCCACATACGTAAACCATAATATCGGAGCAGGATTGAACGTTCTAAGAGCCTTATGTTCCCAATGCCACCCCATTCGTTTGTTTATATAGTTTATTTTGAAATTTGAATACAGTGGAGGTTAGACATAACTGAACACCTAATATTATTTCATCAACTGAGCGAGAGCTTAGTCCTACTTTTGAGTTCAGGATCAATGTTCAGTTCATTCCTAACTGCCTCCAGAGCTGTATTAATGGGAATATTAGTATATAAACTGGTTATGTCAAAACTAATCATTTTTTCATCTTTTTCCAATTGAATTTCCTTTAGTTTCTGTTTCATTACATAGGAGTTAGTTAGCCTAGAATTTGACCTATCTCTCTCTCTCTGATGGGGCATAACACTGATGCTAAATATTTAGATAACTTGTACGTACATCGGGGAGTACGCCCCATTAGACACCCCGACTTATGAGCAACAATTTATGCACGAAACGTCATCCAGTTGTTAATACATCATCGCTGTGTGATATTTAAAAATAAACTTATCTAATATAGAATTACATTCTACCACAGTGCCCAAGTTCTACACTTTTATTAATTATCCAGTACAACCTCGTTTTCAATGTTTTCCGGAAGGATATACGTTTTTCATAAAGTATAACTTGAAATGAATCAAATTCCTATAAACCACCATTTAATAATCGGAATTAACATGATTTCTCCCCCCTCCCTCTTAACCGTTTCTTGTGAACATGTTCTTTACGTAATAAATAGTTATTATTGTTAAAACCTCAATCTATCCAGTTTGGGTAGTAGTCTAACAGACACTTCCTAATATGTCGTTTCGATGGGTAAAATTTATCCAAAACCAGCGAATAACGACAAGAATCTATGGTAGGGAGACCCCACTACCAACTATTGCACAAATGGCTCGAATTTAATGTTCTTTCATATTGATTTAGACAATAAGGGTGGTCCAAGTCTTAGTAAAGAGCATGGATAATGTTGTTGAGTAATACTATTGATTTAACAATGTAATGATTTATTTCACAGAACACACACAGTGAAACAGTATTTCACTGTGTTTGAAGTTAGAATTCATGGGCCATTGGATCGCGTCCCAGGGGCTTAATGGTCTAGAGCTCACTAGCCTTGTAACTAGAAGGTCCTGGGTTCGACCCCGGTGGTGGGTGTGTACTGATGAAGAGTCCCAAACTAGGACGAAGCAGCTGTCCAGTACTCCGCAGGTTTTCCAATGGTTCTCTAATCAATTTCAGCTCATGATGAAATCCTGTAACCAAACAGTATTTATTTACTGATAACATTTTGAGCACGATCTATTACTCATATAGGTATGAAAGGACTCAAATAAAGTCCATATTTTTCTCAGATACTTCTATCATTTCTCATTATTTCACATCACTGGTAATAATACTTCTCCATATTTTCTTCCGATATTAGTATTTGGCATATATTTGATGATGAACAAACATACAGTGATCAACTACTCACTCTCCACTTAACTATACTACTAACTTTCATTATTGCAGCTTTGTACCATCCTACTATATGATCGTATATTAGAAACCACTGAGAAATTACGGTGCACGCAGTAAGTTGGTCGGCAAGAGTAAACAATAGACACTAAAGTGAAATGACCTTGATTTGACCAATCAGATAGCTCAGCATTACAAATGGTTACTAGTCATAATCCTCTTTGAAAACATCTCCTAGATTTGGTCTTTGACTTGTCTGTGGAAAATGTGTTGATAGGGAGGAATAAAACATGCATGTGTGGAGGGATAAACACCGCAGAGGTATTGCCGGGCTATTGATGATTATACATTCAAATGCAACCAATTTATATGAAGAAGTCTGTATAAGTTGGTAAGTCCTACGTAATTGGCGACTTCTTTTAGACACTTTCTTCTCGAAATCAAAGCTCTCCCTTAGTAATATATTGCGTATAAGCAACCAGTATCTGCTACATTGGTTTGGTTTGATATGTCTATAACCACTTCTATGAGAATCTGGGGCCAGTTTTTGCAGCATATTAGAGATGTATACCCTATATGATTCATTTTTATTACATATATTATCGTAGATACACTTCTTTGTAAATTAAGTACCCCTTTTCACCTAGAAGAATCTAATTGGCTGTTTCAAGGTCGTCTGAAGTTGGTGTCTATTCTTTACTGTTGCCAGTTGGTCATTTCTTAGGGTTTATATCATTCTATACACTAAGCTAAATTCCTATGTTGTTATATGCTCAATGAACCTAATTAACAAGTCCAACAACTTTCGTCCTCGACATCACAACCATTAGTGGATATTTAGTGGATAATTTCATTTCTTTCAATCAATAGAATCCTGGAGCCTCCAGAGTTTGTCCCTGAGTAACTTAAGGTCAATTCCCTCATAGATAGACTGGTTTATTACACTGCAGCATTCCATTGTATTAACAGACAGTATTTGCTAACAAATAAACACCTCTGGTTTGCGCTAAATCCGTCAACATATTTCAAATGCATAAATTGTTAGTGACAAATCATTCATTCATTTATAAGTATATTAATGAATAATGACAAACAAAAAACAATGGTCAGAAACTTACCGAAGAATCTCGATAATATCTGTAGGTCATTATATCGCGAACAAGAGACGCCATAGGCTGTACATGACGTGCAACTATTTCATCCAAGTCTTCATATTCTTCACCATCGATAATCAAAAGTTTCCCGAGTGAAAAATTATTTGTCTTCTCTTTTTCAACAACATCAATATGTTGCATAATTCCATCATCAATTTTCCAACTAACAGTTAAATGATCAGTTCCCTAGAGTAAAATGAATATTGTTATACAAGAGCGATAGGTGATTTTAAATTTGAACGAAGATTGCGTTCAGGTTGTAGTGAGAAGTATTGATGAACGATATCACCTGAGTACCATTCTTTTTTTATCCCTTTACGTCCCCAGTGGAACAAAGGGCTTCAAACTAGGGCTCCGAAGTTTCGGTAGCAGTAGTGCTCGTTTTTACGGGGTGAGATTGTTTGCCTCATGCTCAAATTTTTCTCTTTGACGGCCCTACTACCGACCAACACAAGGTTTTGATACATGCGCAATTACATCCATTGATCTTAGGGGCCCAACCCGGAAGTCTGCATCTCCCTACCTGACTCAGTTAACTGTCAGGATTCATGGATTGATGCCATTTTTTGTTTGGCCACCACTTCTCTTTCCAACCTGCACCTATTCAGAGTAATGCCGTGGGGGCGTTAGTAGCAGCGTTTGCGAGTGTTCTACTGCTGAAACATTGACCCTTAGTACCACTTACAGTGTAAAATAAATAAGACCAACCCATAATATATTTCAATCAATTATGTTGGATTTAAGCGTTTTGATGACCAACGAGGAAACACGAATTATCCTGAGAAGACGATAGTACACGGTAGATATTACTTTTTTAAACTTTGCAGAGATTTTATCTTTAGATTCCCTGAGATGTTCAGTAAAATTAATTCAAAGTTCTGTTTTAATTCTCTCGCAAATTACGCATCTCTGGCGTAGACTGATATCCGGCTATCGACCAAAAAGCGTGTTACTGCTCAGCAGTTCGCTCTATCCTCCTTATGGCTGTGAGTGAGACCTGACCATTGAGGGTGGAAGACATGAAGAGGCGGTAATGTCTTTGATCATAGGTGTCTGCGTTCTATCTCCCATGTGAAGTGGTTTAATAGGGTGAGCAATATTGAGGTTGGGCATCGGTCGAGTGCTAGGTAAGGAGGGGAAGTCAATAGACGAGGCTGTGAAGCTACATCAACTGAGATGGTTAGGACATGTGTTACGCATGCACGCTTAGCCATCGCCTTCCTCGACAGACAATGTTAGCTGACATAGGGTCAGGCTGTCAAACCAAAACATGGCACCAGTCAATGAAATCCACAACAGTTAGTTTAAGCCGCTGCGTAAGAAGGTGTAGACTGGCTTCCGGTTGGGCTCCTCGGGATGGTAAAAGCCAATGAAGGCTGGAGACAATTGGTGATATGCAGCTCAAAATCGTTCTCAATGACTGGTGCAGATGCATCCACTTCTTGTGACTTATAATTTCCAATGAAACTATATTGTTCTTCGTATTACTATTTTTGTTCATATCCCTGTCTACTGTCTTGTTATGCATTTCTACTTTCTTCTCTTGCTTTGTGTGCTACATGGAGTGTGGCGACTCGAACTGCTGCAGATCGGTGCAAAGTTCTACGTTGAAAACAAACAGACAGACTTCTCGCGATGTATCAACTTTAACATATGCATGGGAATTGGTGACTATAAGTACAAGTGACTGCATTATTGAATACAAATATCCCATATGAAAACTTGGTTCCACTACCAGGAACTAACTTTGGTGAATTTTACCAGCTATTTGAAAACATTTCTATGATATTTCAAAAAAGAAATCTTTTCAATTTTTGTAATGTACACGGCTTCTTTTCATACTTATTTATGTGCTACTATGATTGATGGCCGTCCTCCCAAGTGTAACTACTACTACTGCTTCCTTCTTCAGGTTTTCAAGTAAGTAAGTCAAGTTTATTAGCTTCATCTTAGAACATTCTAATCAAACCATATTTATAGTTTATAAAATGTAAGCTGCAGAAGTTGGGGTACTGTTCACCAGATATCTCTCTTCTATAAATAAATATTCAAAATATTTTACTGCTTCTTCATCATAAAGGTTCTAAAAACTGAAAACGCACTTCATCCACCTACACAAGAAACTCAAGGAACCCTTCGAAATGAAGATGGGAGTAAGACAAGGTTGGCTGTCTACTCTCTCCAATGATTTTCCTGATTGCAGTAGACTGGATAATGCGACAGACTGCGGGCAATGAGGAAACAGGCATAAAAATGGAGCCACAAAAAGAACTTGGAGGATCTGGACTTCGCTGATGATATATGTCTGATTTCCCACAAACTGGAAGATATGCAAGTGGGAAGCAACAAGTTGGCAGAAGAAGCATCAAAGATAGGACTTGATTTCCTGACCAACAGACAACAATCAGCATAAATGGGAGAAATCTGAAACAAGCAACCTCCTTCACCTAACTACTTACCTACCTAGGAAGCATCGTTCCAACTACAGGCGGGCGGAACTGATGAAGATATTAAAGCGAGGATCGGGAAAGCAAGACAAGCTTTCATTACTCTCAAGTCTGTGTGAAGATCAAAAGCACTACTGAACTTGAAAAATAAGAACCAGATTTTCAACTCCAATGTGAAGTCAGTGCTACTATATGGGGCAGAGACTTGGCGCCGCGTCACGAAGGCCACTTCGAACAAACTATAGATCTTCATCAACAGCTGTCTTCGCTCAACGCCACTTAAGATCAGATGGCTGGCCAGAAAAGATCAGCAACAGGGATCTCTGGGAGCAACCAACACGACCAATTATACAACAAATATGCAGGAAGAAGTGGAGGTGGATTGATCATACTCTTATAAAACTATCAAGTGACATCACACGCCACGCCATCACTCAAGTGGAACCTGAATGGGAAGCGGTGAGTTGGTTGTCAGTGCGAGAGTGAAATGGAGGAAGTCATGCGAAGAAGAGATGAAAGCATGTGGGCAGACGTGGAGACAGGTGGGAACGTTGGCACAGAACCGAAAGCTATAGAGACGTACGGCTGAACCCCTATGTTCCTCAAGGAATTAAAGAAAACAATAATAATATGCTAGTCTGTTATAAACTTTTGAATGTCTTAACAATTATTTCATTAATGATAATTTATTTCTTATAGCCAGAGTAGGTCTGGTAGTTGGCAACACTATGAGATATTACAGACCTTCAATGAGGGAAAATATATATATATTCAATTGACAGGTCAAAAATATTTTACCTTTCTACTCGGCCGAATGATAATAGCACCAGGTTCTAATTCAGGTTCCATTGCAGCTAATTGATCATAACTAATATTTTTAAAATATGGATGAAATATTAGACGAGACATATATGGATTGGTTTTAGATTTCGCCTTAGTCATAGCCTCTTCTTCAGCACGTAAATCTCTTTCTTCTCTTTCAAAATCATAAAAGGCATCTTGACGTGGACGCCATATATGACGTTCATCCTGTAAAAGAATAATAAAACTTTTGTAAGTGATCATTAGAAGAAAAATATTCAGTCGAAAAACAGGTAATAAAACAAATTCTGTCTGTATTCGATATAGAACTTTGCACCGATGTGCGGCAGTTCAAGTCACCACAGTCCATGTAGCACACAAAGCAAGAGAAGAAATGCATAATATAGACAGTAAAACAAATTCATTATAAAATAAATGTGTCTTAATTAATAAAGTAACATAGAATGAAGAAAATGTTAGCATTGTATTCACATTTAACTAAAACTAACTTTTAATTCAGTCGCCTTACAAGTAAGCTCCACATTAAATCTTGTAATGTCGATTTTAGTTACCCGACACTGGACAAGCGAACCTGGTTGAGAAGTTTGAAATAGTTTTTCAGGTGTATCCATGAATCGACTCGGTATGAAACCATCTATGCCATTATCTAATTGAACGCGTAATCCAACTGGTTGTCCAGGACATTCATTATTATCAAAATGATTCCAAACCTGAAAAATAAGCAGTAAGTAAGACGTATTCAGTGTGACTACTTCACATAATAAAAATTATTTAAAAAGGTATATATGTGTATATATATGTGCATCTGTAAAATGCTTGCCAGCCACACGCGGGGTTATGGTGTTATTCCCGACCTACGCACTGGCAAACCTGGCCTAGTTTACAAGCCTACATTAACCCGAGAAAAATAAAGGTTGGATGTAGGATGCCAACAACATAAAAAGGACATCACCGTTGCTGCAACTTCAAACGTTGAAGACCCATATATCATAATAATAAGGCCTTATTTGAGACAATATGCGAACATATTGTACGAAAAGTTTCAGAGCATTTAGTTCCAAAATACTTTTTCTTTATACAGGATTATCGTCTAAATTAATAATATGAAGTATATTTTCATTTCGTTGAAGAATTGCACAGCATTTACTTGGAAGCAAGTTAAATCAGCGCGCAAGTTCATGTATAGGTCATTTGATATAACTGGACGATTAAACAATTATAAATCCAGGATGCGCATTTCGTCCTATTTTAGGGCTCGTCAGCTAAATGTACCTGCATTCCGCAGTGAATAATGATGTTCCCACCGAGGCTCGAACCCATCACCACTCACTGCTGAATGCAGGTATATCCATCTGACGAGTCCCAAACAGGACGAAATGCACATCCTGGATTCCACTGCTAGTCACCATCCACCAATTAACTTCTAATTACATGCCCCAGACATCATCGAAGCATCTGCACAAGAAGCCGACATGTCAACCTGAGACCGAGCACTTCGGTCCAATCAATCGACGGGAAAAATCTAAAATTGAATTAAATAAATGATAAATCCAGACGAAATTAAGCATTTTGGTGGAAAGCGATTTCGGTAGCCCAGTGATTTAAGCAGGCCGCCCTTTTGCATATATATATATATATATATATATATAATTCCGTAATAAAATACAAAACCAAGTGTGATATAAAAATTACATGATTGAGTAACTGGAAATTATCTCGGCGACAAAATGGACACATCCATGTGCCATTGACTTCATTTTTACTTGGATTAGCATTATCCAGTTGTTCTGGTCGTGGTCGTCTATTCGCAACACTTAAAACTCGACATTCAACTAAACGACCAACATGTAGGGTTTCAGGCGTTTCATGTGTAACCATACTGAAAATGTTCTCCGGATTAGCCGATTGGTATGGATCTCGATAATCTCGATAACGATGATTCAATTCTTTACGAATATCATATAAAGTTATGTGTTTATCTCCGTGCTCTTGTCGCTTTAGCTCTTCTGCAAATGCATCGAGATCCAGTTCTCGCAAACGTGCAGGACTAAAATAAAATAAATACATGAAGGACTTTAATATAATACAATAAAACCAATAATTTATATATTAAGGGGGTTATATAAGCATAAAAGTAGACACTAAATAAAAACTATAGTGATGTAAGATTATTTACAAAGACAAGTCAATGAATCTTTCTACTGTCATGTCACGACTAGAAGACAGTGGTTAAATTGGACCACTATGAAAAATTATACAAACTTGATATGTAGACAGACAAAAAAATCAGATGTCTTTGAAGTATGTGTTGAAGATGTTGCCTAGTAGGGCAATGAAAGCTTCGCAAATAAACCATTCACCTCAATGGACACAACTACATCAAAATCATCCACTTGAGCTACAAATCTTCTCCATCATATCTAATATCAGATGTCACATGTTTATGATGAGATGGTGATGAAGGTCAGTTTGGATATTCTAGCTTACGCATACGCCATCAACCTGATGGGTGTATACATATCATTGTTTTCTTTAGTAAGCTTGCTTATACGGATACTGATAAATATGCTTTTCCAACTCACGTCGTTGTGTTCTGGCTTACGTAGAGAGGGCTGGGGAATCAAGTAGCTGACATGGAGTGTTGTTGGAGTAATTAGTCAAGCAGTATTCGCGATCGGCACGTCTAATTCCAGCATCAGCATCCCAATACTCTTTCAATCTCAATGTTATCGCAAAATAATAAGATTGCTACATTGTACTGAAACTAAACAACAAAGGAACCAAAACTTTCCAACCACTGTCCAAATAACATCCAGCTATCCACAGTTTTGCATTCCATAGCTTGGTCAGTAAAAGAGACGAACTTCCACCAAACACTCACACGAACGGCCATCAGCAATTATTATCAAACCATGTAATATCTGTCCTAATGTTTAAATTCTCAAATTGCAGAGAGAAAGTGCTATCACAAAATGGGAGTGCTTAAACTACTGGCTTGTAAACCCTCGATTCAAAAGGTGAACCCAGTATATATTTTCTGTTTAAACACGCTCTTATATGATACCAACGAAGTTAAGTCTAACACACTCAAAGTTGTGACCTTAGGTAGCAGAAGTAACAACTATCAGTAAAAGACAACAAGCGACTAGTACTAATCGACTACTCGCACCACTGAAGATGATGTGCATTAAAAGTACTTGAAGGAGAAAACGAACTAGTCCCGTAATTTCCAAGATCTCAAGAGATATTTGGATGAAGCCACGCACACACGATTATCAAAGGTGTGTTAATGACTAGAGAGCTGCAAGGCAACGTTGTATAGCGAAGCCACCCATCAAGGAAAGAAAACCATTCCGTAAGACGTAATGCACAACTTTTAAAACCGACTTCGAATCTTTTTTTCTCCCAAGTATGAAATCGTTACAACTAATATTGTAACAACAGAAGACAAGGGCCAGGAAACAGAACGTTTATTACGGAAAATCAACACATATTTATAGATTTTGACGTACATTATTGTAGGTTAATGTTAGTAGAAAATACAGTCTGTTGATTGGTCGTTTCTCACACAAAGTTAACCTTGCATCTCTTGTGGCTGTGTCAGTTCTGTATCCACCCGTCCATCTTGACCTTGACCTCAATTACTGTCAACCAATTTGGCTAGCAACCATCTCTCACCACAACATGACTAATATTTGATACATACACATTGACCTCAATTACTGTCAACCACTTGGCTAGTAGACAGCTCTCACCACAATATGACTGGTCGTTCATCAAATATATACTGTTATTGTTAATTCCTTTCATATCTGTCCTTTGTTATTTTTTCTTTTGTGTTAAAATTCATACTACTTACCATTAATAAGTAATATGAACTATGTTTGTTACTTCCTAACCATGATTTTGTAATTGGAGTTTAACTCAATAAATGTGTCTATGATCGCATTTAATGAATAGTAATTATTTTCTTATAGTTGAGTATCATCGGTTGTATATACCTTACTTATTTAATGACTGCTCATAATTACTCCTCTAAGTTTATTCAACAATAACGATCTCTTTTGCAATGACGTGGTAATTTCATTTTTTTGTGATAAGGAAGTGAAATGTGATGTAATGTAAACAAAAGTATGCCATACATTTACGACCTTGTTTGTTGACTGACAAACAAACACCCTTTTAATTAGGTATAAACAGTGAACTAGACACATACTGCTCTCTCTCTCTCAAGTGATATCTAATGCTTTGCAATTAATAGTGTTCTCTGAGCTGGTTGGTTTAGTTGCGGAGCTTTCCTCATCGTTCTGGACAACATCTTCAGCGCAATATTTAGCATAAAGTAAATGATTTAAATTTCTTCATGAGTGATATAATTGCGTCTCCCGGTAACCATCTTTACATATGTATTGACCATTTTCTATTGACTTGGATTTTAAACTTTCTGGTCACCTGATTTACTTTTTATTAGTTGGTACATTTCGTCTATATTATGGTGTTTATTAATTGCATTTTCGTTTGAGTACCAGGCTTCTAGGAATTCCCTGGCACTTTTGGTGTTTCCTCTGTCTAAGATTTTGACATTATCCCAATCAAATTGATGACCATAATTGTCTATATGCATTGATACTAAAGAATATATATCGTGTCTTTTCACGGCTGATTTGTGTTCTTGGATTTTAATTCGAAGGGGACGCCCACTTTGGCCGATGTAATGCTTGTTACAGTTCATACAATTTATTTTGTAAATGGTATTAATTTTATCTCCTTTTTCTGTTGGATCTTTCGGTTTGCATAATATCGAATTAAGCAATTTGACTGGCTTGTGTGCTATATCTATATCAAACGGTTTCAGTATTCTAGCTGTTATTTCAGAGATATTTTTCATGTATGGTAGGATGAATTTTTTTGTGGTCTTTGATGATGGTTCCTTGTTGGTGTTTTGATTCGACTTTAAACACTTTTTGATGAAATTATGCTTATCTAATGCTTATTAACCGCAGTTAATTGGTCGACAAGTAGAAAATCTCTAAGTAAGGCGAAATAAGTACATTTTCATATGTTCCTATGATAGAAAGCAAGTTTGGTTTTCACATTACTGCATACACCATTTGGAGATGTAGACTGATGACTGCATATGCTGGGTTTTGCATTTAATGAACCGAAGAAATGTACAATTTGGAAAAATCATATAAGTACACTAACATCATAAAGTGTGAGTGAGTGGTCCAGGGTTCGACCCCCGGCCGACTCACTTTTAAACCTCGCTTAGGCGGTGATGGTAAGACCGATATAAAGAGGGAAGCATGGAGATGGAGCCATCAACCCAACCGCTACTGGAACTTAAAGCCTCAAGCTTGAAGCCCCCTATGCTCCACTCGAAACATAGAGGAGAAAAATGTCATGATATGTCATCATATTTTAAAAACAATATCCTATGAAATAGCAACAAAGTATATGTATCAACCATTGACAAATGGACTTCAACCAGCCGTCAATATATTCATTTTTATGCATAAACAGAGTAATAATAGTGTGGTGAGAGCTGGCTGCTAGCCAAAGCTGATAGACAGTAATTGACGTCAATGTTTATGTCCCCAATATTGGTGGTGAGAAAATGAGAACAAAGGCTTTGCGTAGGCGGATACAGTTAGCATATGGATAATCTGACACAGCCACAAAGAGATGCAAGGTTAACTTTCTGTTAGAAACAACCAATCAAAAGACTGTATTTTCTACTAACAATAATCTACAATAATGTACATTAAAATCTATAAATATGTGTTGATTTTCCTTAATAAACGATCTGTTGCCTGGCCCTTGTCTTCTGTTGTTACAATAGTAATGATAATAATAAAAACACTGTTACTGATAACAAAAATGATAGAGAAATAGAATACTTATTAGATGCCTGTGAACGTACCTGTGAACTATTTCTTCGAGTGCAACTGTTGGATCACACTCTTCCGTATCATCGTATTCTAAAGCATCTACAGCCATTTTCTTTGCTAAATCATAACTTTCAGGATGCACTCTAGTAGAATCTAATAGATCCACATCGTCTGCATCTAAATCACGTACAGATGTTGTATCAATTTTAATGAAGCCAGCACAATTGATAACAACTCGTGGACCAAATTCTATCATTGTTACTAGTTGCATTCGGTTAGTCAGATGTGTTTTTTTATGTTTTAATATCTACACAGAGAGACAGAAAAAGAATAAGTTTACATGCAAAACAACATTAGAGATAGTAATATTTACTGGACAAAAATCACTCAAAAATGTATCAACAGTTCACAAGGAGAATGCAGATAAGTGTATAGGAAAAGTGTTGTTAACTATAATCCACTGTGGCAATAATTCCTAATGAAAACTAGTTATTCTATAGTGCAGAAAGTTTTCAGCAGCACGGAAATATGAATAATTACAAACAATAGAGCAAAAATTGTAATAATTTGGTAAGAGGTCTCGAGTTAGAACAATAATAATAATTATACATACGTAGGGAGGACTCATCGATCTCTGCAGGTAAGGGCTTCAGAGCATATTCCTAAATGGCTCCAGAAACAAATAGAATATCCAGCATCCATTAATGGTGAGAACAGGAAACCTAGCTCCTCTATTGCGAAACATATTATAAAGAAAGGGCATAAAATTGACGTCACATCTTTTAAATCTATCTGTAAAACGTATTTGGGGCGTATCCTAAAGTTTGTAGAAGCACTAGCAATTAGAAAGTTTAAACCTTCTTTATGCGTTCAAAAACAATTCGTCATCACACTAAACCTTCCTTGGTAAACTTTGTTTTGATACCATAGCAGATGTACTATCACCTCTGTTATTTGGTTTAGTGGTCTTCATAATAATAATAACTATTATTATCATTATTATTACTATTATTATTATTACAACACAAACTTGGTGCAATTATAGGCACTAACAGATGCGCCACAAAAAATCTCATAGTGTGTGCGAAGGATGGGACACTATCCAGACGTCCATACCGAGGCAAGTGGTTGTCTTAAGAGGCCACCACCGCCGAGCCTTGAACTTGAAGTCTGACCCTCAAGACAGTGGAGCGGTGATCCCATGGTTTTCGATGATCGAAACAGGTTCATAAGCTAATCGATCCTTTCGGATTCTGGAGTCCATGCACACTACAGATTTGGTATCAGGATATTCCAGCTCCCATAGAGAGATCAACATGTCCATCATTTCGAGCGTAAACGCCAGACATTCGCATTCGCTATCTCACTGTTGTAAGCAACACCCCCACCACAATAAAGTTGGTTGCATCGCCTGTGTGGTGGCAACAGCTGGGTTTACTTGCAACTACCATTTCAAGCAACACACTTTACAGGAAAACAGACTGTATTTCAAGATAAAGTAAGGAACTGTTAGCACATAATGGTAATATTCATCCTGATTTGGCTTGCTACCATACATATATAGTCGTCTCATACAAAAAGGAAGAGCATATCGATATATATAGTCAAAGAATAACAAGAAATATCGAATTTCCATAGCTTTGTTAGCTGCGTGAATGTAGAACTGATGTCTAAGTAAACGGTAGTTATAATCAAATGACCACTAACTAATTATACCCAAGTTTAGTGACACTAAATAACAACTGGCTACATCTTAGGTATACTGGATAATGCATTGGATTTTCCTTTTTACCCATTCATGCTACACTGCAAAGCAAAATACACTTCTCCAGGCGGTACAGAGCTGCCTTCATAATAGAATAATTTTATCACAAATAATACACACAGTGATGCAGTGTTCATTAATTGAATGAAATTCGAGCTAAACTTATTGCTCACAATCATATCGAGATGTACTCATATATCTTGTTGTTTATATGATTCTCTCATGTCTCATCATATGATTGATATCACGGTGTCAGTGTTGCACCATCCTTAGGGTATGTGTTTGGCAGACACATTTGATGAACAAAGATTCAGTGATCAACTGCTCATTCCTAACCCAGTGTATGGTTGTCTGTTAGTGTATGTATGCATTGTAACTGCTGGGTTTTTTCTTTCTGAGTTAGTCATTTTTTACGATTTATCATCATGTGAGGGGTTAATCAGAAAGCCTACATAAGGAAAGGAAACAGACAGGAGAAACTTTGTTGCTGTATAACTACTCTATAGAATTCACTAAGAAATTCAGAAGAAGCTAACAAAAGGAAAAAGACAGTAGTGAGGATTTTCACTAAAAAAATAAATAACGAATGGAAGGCATCCCACAATGTTGTGATATTCAGGAAAGAATATTGAAAACACTGAGCAAGGTTCTTAATACTCCTTGCCAGACTAGATCAGACAAAATAACATAATTCACAGAACGCTTTGCAATGACTGTGAGGAAAATTACATACGTGAATCCAGTAAAAAGGGCTAAGCTACCTGAAAATGGGAATTTAGCTGGGTGTAGAATGATAGACCCTAAAATATGACCAACAGGGAATAAAAATCAGTAATTACAATGCACGCGCGCTAAAACACAATCATATACTAATGTATGAGAGAGTTAATATGCTAGTAGGTAGGTAGTAGTATAATTAAGTGTGGAATAAGCAACTGATCACTGAATCTTTGTTCATAGGATGTGTGCACCAAACTCATGAGATAGGGATGGGTGCGACACTAATGTCGGAAGGAAGTATGGAAAAAACTATTATTACCAGAGATATCGAATGATGAACAATGATAGAATTACATAAACAAGATGAGTGTATTGATAACATTATGAAAAGTAAATTTTGCTGGAAATACTCAATTACTATATTATGTCAAATAAACTTAGTCAATGTGTAAATCATTGTGCGTGTGTATGTGGCATAGCGGTAGAATGCTCGCCGACCACTGCCCCATGTGGTTCGGGGTTCGATCCCCGGCTACAGACGCACTCCTCCTTTACCTCGCTAAGCCAGTAATAAGACTGGTAAAGAGGGAAGGTTGGGCATGAGGCTAGCAACCCTATCCCGTAAAAAATAAACACCACTGCTACCGAAACTTCAAGCCTCTAGCCTGAAGCCCTATGTTCCACTGGGAACGTAAAGGAATGAGAAAAAAATGTGTAAATCATAAAATATTCCAGAATTATTTTCATTGCCATAAGAAGTAAACTATGAGCGCTAGGTTTATGTGCAGTAAGATAAATTTAATTATGGCCATTTCAAAATCTTAAGTGACAGAATTCAAATGGAACTTTCTCAGTACTATTAAGGAATTCAGAGATAGTTTCAAATCAGATTCAACTTCCACATTTAATAATAATAATGACTGATAACTTGAATATATTTTGAGTTGAATAAAACTGAGTTACTGCGAGATTATATCAGTGCGAACGAAACTGTTTCGTAGGAAAAGACACTTACCTTCAACATATGTAGGCCTTTACGTGGCCCTAATCCTGAAATAAATTGAATAACTCCAGCAGTATGAGGATGAGCCAAACAACGATTCACATCGACTCCAACTTCATTCACTCGATTAATAAATTCTATTTCTAAAGCTTTCATCAACATTTCACGAGGAATACAATCTTGTAATGGATGCCATCTAACGCCTAAAATTTCATTCTCAATAGTAACGAGTTGAGCGAATTCTGTTAGAGGATCTTGTAAACGTCTACCCAAAGAGATAGCTTGACGAAGAAGTGGAGGGTAAGATACTGGTAGATCAAATGAAGCACGTGAAGATAGTGCAAAGACAAGGGAAAGTTCTGTTTCCATTAACTCAACATGAATACGGGGTAAACGTCGTTCAGTGGCTAATTCATTTACAAGACGTTGAATATCTTCTTGTAAAAATAAAGCTTTCCTACAGTCACATCCAATTACACAGACTTGAGGTTTGTGTTTGACTATAAAGGTTGAAAGGCGCTGCATATCTTCTTCCTAAATTGAAAAATAAAATAACACTGATGTACATCGATCGATTGTATTCCACTCTTAGAAAATTCATTTAAGTAAAAACACTATTCAAGGCAATGATCAAAGTCATCCGTCTTACCTTGAGCTTCTTCATGTCTTCAGGAGCACGAGGTGATACTAAAAGACCATGAAAATGGAGAAAATCAACAACTTCTCCATCACGATCCAGTTGGACAGCAGTCACCATTGACTTTCGAATATCATCCTCATTTTTTATAGCCAAAGCCAAAACGCGGGCTCCTTTTGGCCAAACAGCACCGCTAGAACGGCTGTCAGCATCACCCCCTGAACGAGAATCTGATTTGTGACGATTTGTAGCAAACGGTAGAGCAGTGTCTTCAGTGTCCATTTCATACGACCGATGACCATCAGGAGGATAAGGTCCTACCCGAAGGTAATTAAACAGCTTCTTGGCACACATCTACAGTTTAAATAAGCAAATAGGTTAAGACAGATATACCATATAAAGACAGTGTGGTAACCAAGTTTACATTACACAAAATGTTTCCCAACTACGAAGCATACAATATCCAAGTAACTTTGGGCAATAGTTACGAAAAAACGACTAACACTTTAGACAAAACTACAAACAATGCTATTGGCAGTGATAAATAAGCCAGCAGAAATAACCAAAGAAAAAACATGTCGTGAAGAAAAAGGTACGTCATAAGAATATTACAAAGATTTGTAAAATAACGTGGTCATTTTAACCACCTTTGACTGACCTTCAGTCATATTAACCAGTTCTCAAACTATGACTTCAGCTGTAATTTCATATTAGTTTGTTTCTTAGATATGTCACACAGTGAAACAGTATTATTTACTGGATGACGTTTCGAACAAAATTTATTGTTCATAATCATATCAATTGTAATCACACGACTTTGACACTTGAGTTTTATAGCTTTCTTTGTTTTCTCCAATTTGTCGTAGGGGGAGTAGAATTTTCCATATATCGGGGACAGGTGATGAATCATTCCTATTACATGTATTTGCAGTTGATTCAATAAACAAAGTTTCTGTTATCAATCTCTCCCTATACCCTGTGACATTAGATTTTAAAACTGTCATCCTATCCCATCCTATTGTATGGTTGTGTGTGACTGCATGTAGTGCTATAGCTGAACTATTCTCTAGATTCCTTATCTTATTCGGATCAACCAATCTAGATTTTGCTAGGTTTTTATGTTCAGCTAGTCTGACTGCCCCTGTTCTACTAGTTTGACCTATGTATTTGACCTGACAATCATTGCAGGGTATTAGATAAACTAAATTGTTTTGTTTTAAAGGCTCTATAGGATCCTTTAGCCGACAAAGCTTGTTTCTAATTGAGTTTGTGGGTTTGAATGCCGTTTTTATTCCTGCCTTGTTGAGAATTCTGCGTAAAGCTTCTGAGGTTCCTTCCTTGTATGGAATTACTACTGATGATTTAGATTCCCTATTGTTGGTGTCGTCATTATTATTATTATTATTATTATTATTATTATTATTATTATCACTATTATCATTATCATTATTATTGTTATTATCACTATCGCTATTATCATTATTTATTTATTTATTGTCCCCGATATATGGAAAATTCTACTTCCCCTACGACAAATTGGAGAAAACAAAGAAAGCTATAAAACTCAAGTGCCAAAGTCGTGTGATTACAATTGATATGATTATGAACAATAAATTTTGTTCGAAACGTCATCCAGTAAATAATACTGTTTCACTGTGTGATATACCTAATAAACAAACTAATATGGAATTACTTACTACCACAGTGCCCAAGTTTTACACATATATTAATATGACTTCAGCTGTGTTATCAGAATCAATCGGAGACTATATACTGCCCTACACGAAAAAGATTAGCATTCAAGCACTATATGAATTGATGCATGCCAAGTAATCCACAACGTGAAACTTACGGAATCCTTCGAAGTGAGGACAGGAGTAAGACAAGGCTGGCTGCCTACTATCTCCGAAGATTTTCCTGATTGCAGTATACTGGATAATGCGACAGACAACGGGCAATGAGGAAACAGGCATAAAATGGACTCACACAAAAAACTTGGAGGATCTGGACTTCGCCGATGATATATGTCTGATTTCCCACAAACTGGAAGATATGCAAGCGAAAAGCAACAAGTTGGCAGAAGAAGCGTCAAAGATAGGACTTCAGGTGAACATAGAGAAAACAGAGGTGATGAAGATTCCTGGGCAACACCACCAACAGCAACAACAACAACAGACAACAATCAGCATAAGTGGGAGGAACCTGAAAGAAACAACCTCCTTTACCTACCTGGGAAGCATCGTTTCAACTACAGGCGGAACTGACGAGGATATCAAAGCAAGAATCGGGAAAGCAAGACAAGCTTTCACTACTCTCAAGTCTGTGTGGAGGTCAACAGCATTCAGCATCAAAAATAAGATCCGGATTTTCAACTGCAATGTGAAGTCAGTGCTACTATACGGATCAGAGACTTGGCGCGTCATAAAGAGCATCTCAAACAAACTACAAACCTTCATTAACACTTGTCTTCGCTCAATACTCAAGATCAGATGGCCAGAAAAGATCAGCAACAGAGATCTCTGGAACCGATTGTGAAACAAATAGGCAGGAAGAAATGGAGGTGGATTGGTCATACTCTGAGGAAACCATCAAGTGACATCACTAGACAAGCCCTCGAATGGAACCCAAAAAGGGAAGCGGCGAGTTGGTCGTCAGTGCAAGGGTGACTTGGAGGAGGTCATGTGGAGAGGAGATGAAAGCGTGTGGGCAGACTTGGAGCCAGGTGAAAACTCTAGCAGAGAACCGAACGCAATGGAGACGCACGGCTGAAGCCCTATGTTCCTCTAGGAATTAAAGGAAACAAGTAATGAATTGATGATTTTTGTTGCATTAATCTCTCTGTCTCATAGAACATGTAAATAAGCTTTTGTCTAGCATAGCTTGTAGTTAGAGACGCATAACACATCTTTACCACATCTGTCAATAGGCGTTTCCCACTTTATTAACTAATCACTATGTATCTAACATCACTATACGCCGCCCAAGCTTTCCACCATTGCTTACAATATGATTTCACTACACGATAACAACAACTTCTTCATACATTCTGTAAATTTCACCGAATTGTTTTGACAATCTTATGATGTTATCTAAAGACAATCCTCCGACTTTAATTGAAGGTCCGATATCATTATCAAAGTCACTGATAGAATTAAACGCACTAGCACAATCACCTTATTCTTCTTGCTGTCTATTTAGGATACACAGAAGGTAGTTGTAAAGTTAGTGTGATCGTGAAATATGTTTACTGCATGTAAAAAAGTTTTAAGCACTTCGTATGAACACTTTATGATTTAACCAGTTAGCAGGTTACACATAGAAATTTACAATAATACTGAACATCCATCAATTTTCAATCACAGTTGAGACTCTGAAATTATTGGTAATGACTGTTCGTCCACCCATTTTCTCTTATCTCTCCTCTTTACTCTGACAACATTTTAGCACTGTTGACTTTTTGTCTAGTACGGGGGTCTAAATTAAGGTGTGCAGTTTAACGAAACACCGCCAATTTAAGCAGGTGTGAGAAGGATGTGAGTACTACAGTGTAACGACTATCAATAGAGTTGGAAATAAACATCTGTCTACGTATTTTATCACTAATAAGGATAGAGTTGTGATTCATCAGTTTATACCCTCGAATTTCAAGGTCTTCGAAATACACTGTACCGATGAAACTAGCCATGTAAAGGAGTGCATCTCAGTGATGAATTAAAATGCAGCTAACTAATAAAAACTAAGCTTATTAAATGAATACTTAATTAACTTACAGTTTTCCAGAAGAACTTCAAATGAGAAACTTACTCTTAATACAGCCTGTTGACTCTCTTCGAGTAGCTTCTGTCGTAGTTCACGTATAAGAGCGGGAAAGATAAATTCTTCAGCAGCTTGTTTAAGTACTAGAGTACGTTGTTCATTCCAAGCTTGAACTAAAGAACTAAACTCATCTTGATAAAAGAAACGCTGAAGTTCATCGACTAAAGATAAACCACGAATCTGTTCATTTGGGACATGAATTTCATATTCCACGAGTTTATCACGTTCAGCCTAATTACAAAGAATGGGGAAATAGTTTTTAAAACAATTACTAAGTAATAAATATTTTACGCAATTCGATGTCAAAAAGTATGAAAAATTCATTGCCAAAAGTGACGATTTCGTAAGAGGTACCATTGCAGGCTGACCGTACACTTAACCAACACTAAATCTATCTAAGCAGAACTAATACCTGCTCCACAAAGATGAACATTTAAATTTGGTATAATATTTAAATTTGATGACATATAACCTTCCCAATAATGTTACGGCAGCACGCGATCAGACAATGAAACTGTATGTACAACAGTCATCGATAAGACTTCACTATAAATCTGTTACCTCCTATACCAATTTACCACACCTATCCAACTCATCAAACTCAAACTGACAAATCAGAAGTAAACGGTGTTCTACAATGCATTGTTCAATCAGTTACGCCTATAGGAGAGTATTTAGCACTCTGATATATTTAACAAATGAGCTAATGTGGAGAGTGTTCAGTTTAAAAACAACTACTAAGATGGTGAAAATAATTCGCAACAGACCAGAAACTGTGACTCGACAACAGTATACATTTGTTGAACGACCAGTCATATTAGTTGTAACGATTTCATACTTGGGGGAAGAAAAGATTAGAAGTCGGCTTTAAAAGTTGTGTATTACGTCTTACGGAATGGTTTTTTTCCTTGATGAGTCAGTTTGTTATACAACGTTGCCTTGCAGCTTTCTAGTCATTAACACACCTTTGATAATCGTGTGTGAGTGGCTTCATCCTAATATCGCTTGAGATCATTTGAAAATAAGAGACTAGTTCATTTTCAAGTAGTTTGAATTCGCTTTATCTTCAGTAGTGCGAGTATTAGTCACTTGTTTTCAGGAAACAGTATACAAACCACTTCTAATAGCTATTTCTATTGTTCTTCCCTTATCAAGTTACTAAAAGAATGATTTTTACAGTTTACTGAAATTTTCATCTCTATATTCATCACTAGTTATTTAAGTCAAAGAAATACCAGTTCAAATATGACTTAAAATAACAACTGTCAACCACACAAGTCTAAACATGTATCAAATATTCGCCAGTAGTACACTTTTGATGATATTAGATAGTTGGAGGCAATCGGCAGGAAGCCTTGGACCTAGTGCTAGTTGGCACTCATCAGCAAGGCGTATCTGCAACCTTGAAGTACACTTTACTCACTAAGTCATACGTGTTTCCAAGCATTTTACTGATATTCTGGTCAACAGTAAAGTGTTATAAATATCCAGACCACAGATGTGGCGAATTTCCCAGAATAATTTAAGCGCCGTGTCAAACTGAACATTATAAAACTACTTCAGATAATCCCAGAGTGCTTAGAAAATCAAATCAAGATTTCTCTGAATGTTTCGCTGTGTAAGCAGCCAGTTTCTTCAGAGAAATCTTATTTTTTTAAACCCTCTGGGATTATTTCAAGTAATCTAATAATGATAAAAAGTGGATTGTATTTAGGAAAAATCAGTGTGTCGAAAAATGATTGGCTAGTGAAAAGGTAAGGGGAATAATTGCAGTAACTGAGAACATACGGTCCATTGTTAATACTGTTTATAGTTGGAATTAGTAAAATCCAATGTGATAAACAGTATGAAGCCTCAAGCTTAATAACCGCTTCCAGTGCAGCCTATGTGAGAAAATGGAAGGTATCAGTTTCATTGAAGTCTGCCAAAAATTATGGGGAGTTATCCCTCTCTCTAAAAACTCCCAAACCTGATATATCTTCCATATTTAAGTAAGGAGTTGGATTTTGGCACGCTTACACTGAATATCAGTTAAGTATGTACATGTGTAAGGCAAACACAAAAAATCGAATAGTATGCGAAAATATTATTTAAGTAACATCTACTTACATTATGTATGTGAAGAAAAAGCACATTTCCCATTAGATCGGTAACTGGTTTGTTAGAAAGATATTTAATAGGGAAAAGTGGATGCGACTCATCTATATGCTTCATTCCACGATCAGTTGGATGCATACTAATGACAGCTTGAAGATTAAACATTTGACGCATCATTTTCCTGACAAATGGTTCACGTGAAATCTCAAATGCAAGCATATAACGCGCTGCTGCCAGTGCTGTCTCAGAAGTAGGAAATTGTGGACACAAAAAGTCTCCAGCAGCATCCAATGGTAGCATAGGGCATTGGTCAACATCATGGCGGAGATATTGATCCTGAACATTCTCAGCAAATTGTGATGCTGAAAGTCCAAATCTCTGGACAAGCTCGCTTAAACCAGCTCGTTTAGCAACCTCATAGGAAGCAGTTGCACGAGCTTGACGCTGACGAATTGAACGTCCAGTCAATGGATCAATAGTCGTGGTAATTGGGACAGCTTTTTCAACATCGATTTCATCATTTTCTTGTTCTTCAGATTGTTCTGTTTCACCTGTCTAAAAAACATAATAAAGTATGAAGACACTACGACAAATATGACAAATAAAACTATAAATGGCTATTTGAACATACCTTATTCTTTTGACGAGCATACCATCGGTTCATTGGCTCAACATATCCAGAATAGTGAAGCAAATAACTTAATCGTACATCATACAACTCCTCTAACGAATCTGCACTGCGAGCACTAAAAAAAGTATATATAGTATTTGATGAATGACATACCATGCAATTAACTTCAAAACTGCAGAACAATGTTTCTTTAAAGGACTAACTGCGTCTTCTGTAGTGATTGCCTCGAAATAGTCTGACAGGCGTTGAAGTAGGTTGATCATATTTTTTTTGCGTTGATGTAAGATGGTCCACTTTTCATCCATTTGGTATATTCTCCAAAGGTCTTTGATATTTAAATCCTTATCTATATATTCCTTCCGATAAAATGCGATAAAAGGAATTTCAAACAAAAATTCCCTCAAAAGTTTTAAGGTCTCAAGAATTTTAGGTATCACCGAAGCAGGCTATCAGTAATGTAAGCTAGATTAATCGATAGTTACCTTATAATCAGCATTTTCTTTAAAAGTATGACGATAAATCCACTCTGCTTCATTTGAAAGCTCCTGTAGATCTTCGGCATATGTTGCTGAACACGAATCTATGCACTTCACTGGGACCTGACGAAGTTGAAAACGCTCCGGTATATCAGTTTTTCTAATGCGTTCATCTGCTTGACTATAGTAGGCCCTTTCAAGATCACTTGGATCGAAAAGTTCATAAACACGATCATCCATAACATGACTTGATGGTGGTCGACGATGCTTTTGTCGCCTTGCTTTGGAGCCCTCCTCTTCATCTGAATATTCATATTCTGACTCTTCACTATAATCATCGCCAGTACGAGGCTTGCGGAATGCTTCAAACTCTGACATATCGAAGTCAACACCAAAAATGTTTTGAGCTTGTTGAAGTGCTGCATCCTTATGTACTATACGCTTTGAAGGCCTTGAAGGTGGAGCGCCTGTCCTGTCATCCACAATAAAATCACCCATATCTGCATCACGAGTAAGAGGAAAAAGGAATTAATAAGAATAAATATACACAGAAACGATACCCACCACCAGTATTCTGGAATTATCAATAGCCTTAACAGAATTCATCTGACCAGTTGATAATGAAACAATGTTTTTACGACTCACGAAGACTGAAAAATGTTACACTGGTGAATAAAATGTTAAGTCCAGGCACCCACTGAGGGAGTCAGTTAAGCATCATGAATGTAATACACAATCTTTAAAAGTAAATCAAGATTTATTCTGATTGTATAGGGATTAATAATACCAGCCACTTGTTGAAACCTCAGTAATCTGGGAATAAGACATTCAACGGAGTCCAAAACCTGACTATTGATAACGATACAACCGAAGACGACCAGGAAAAAGCGGAAGGAGTGGCAGACTACTTCTACGGAATATCCACACAGGAGTCGTCACCCCCCACCCTTCATAACGTTCTGGGAATACAGGGTAGATTTCGTCGACATCCACTAGAACATCTTATTCCAGTCCCTAAAGAAACTAGACTCAGGGAAATCAGTGGGGCGCGATGACCTTTATCCAAGGCCTCTCAAGGAGCCAGCCGCCCCACTGACTGCGATCTCCTGACTATCTCCCTTGAATGGAGTTTTACTTTGCGACTGGAATGACTCCACAGCAACCTCTATCTACAAAGCAGGATCCACACACCATCCTTCAAACTACAGGCCTGTCAGTCTCACCAGCACCGTAATCAAGATACTGGAAAGAATCATCAAGAAATCCATCATGTATTTCTGGAAAACAACCACTTGTTGTCAAGAGCGATATTCTGAATACAATTAGTCACCTATGTTTAATAATACTGTGCATAAAAAAATGAATGTCACATGGAAATATAGTAGTACTGGGTGAAATCCAAATCGAATTGTAATCCATGAAAATTGAGGAAAGTCTAGCTGTTGATACTCAACTAGAACTAAACAGTCCAGTAAAATAGTTTCATTTTCTTTTATGAATTATATAATGATAACACATCGAAGTACGAAAAATGAAATTCGAATCCCAGACAAATAGGTGAGAAGTTTGCTTACGAAGCTGATGTTCCATACACCCTCTTTTATCCTCATGGATAACAAACAAAAAGCAAAAATGCAACTAAACAACTCCATTTACTATGCAATGTGCTAGCCCTAACTATAAATAACTGTAACACGGTTAAGTACATGAACTAAAGCTGGGAAGACGAACTTATGCTGAAAAGATACATGACACCGTGATCATTGTACTCAATCCTAATTAGATGACCCTCAGTTTTAGAATAGATAAATAGTTTCAATTAAAAGTTTTGAGAAAAAAATCTCTATCACTACACAAAAAATTTCAAATAATGATTACCATCATCTTCCTCTTCCTCCTCTTCTTCATCACCGACTGATACACCAAAATCTGCTGGACGACTCCGAACAACTCTGTCCTCATCCACTTCTTCATCTTCGTCTTCAAATATCTGACGCGCGATAGCTTCTCTTCCTCGATCTTCTTCATAAGCTGTCTTTTTTGATGCAACTTCATCTTCATCTGCTTCATCATCGTCATCCAGTACCAATCGTCTCTTTTTCTAAAGGGGTAAGAAATTTATGAGAATGTATGATTTTATTTTAACCACATATTGACTGTAAATGAACAAAATACAAATAAAAAACAATAACCAGCAGAGTTCAATAAATAATTCTCCAGCTCATTGGTCATAAGGACTACGGAACTTACACTAAATGTAGTGTTTCTTGAGAGTGTATTGTGGATTTTGCCGCTTAAGATTCAATTCGCAGGCTCCATCACCTGCGAATTTCACGAGTGGAAAGATATTGAGTCCAACTCGGTAGGATCAAACGAATATGTACAAGTAACAGTGAAGAATTGCTATGACAGGTAGTCCGCAACCCACCGAGTGGAGTTCAAGTGCGAAAATCAACGAAATGTAACCTGACTTAATGACATTTAGACGTTAGATGTGAACGATAAAACAATTAGAGTCAGGTAAGAATACGGAGAAAATTCACTGAACCAATAAGTAATCATAGTCAAGTAAGAATTTAGACCACTACAAAAATCGTTTTTGAAATTATGAGGACCACCAGCACTTAACATATTTTTCAGTAGTTCGAACTTACGTTGATTATTACTATTTATTCTCTACTGCTTACATAATATAACAATGAGGTTTACTCATCATAACAACTCATATGAGTCACATAACTTACTGTAATAGAATGATTAAGTGAGGACAAGACTAGAAATGGACAAATTTGTAACCACATTAAAATTTCGACACTTAAAGAGAAGAATCAGTTGTATACGGAGACAGCGAACTTTTTACATCGACATTAGGAGGATCGGTTGACAGGATATACCTCTAACAATCAGATGCGCGATATAACTACCGGTGATAAAAGATATTACTGTAAACATTTAATAACCGCTACAGAAACACAGAAGAGCCTCAGAAGAAGATCAATCAGTGACTAAGTCTGTACATCATTTTACAGTAACTGGGACACATTGCATTACTTTTACCTCGATATGCTTAATGTGATAAGTGCTTCATCACCTAATAGTTGCTGACACTTAGCTGATAAGTTCGAGTCTCATGGAAATCTTTTGAACTTAAAATAGAGTCCATTGTAAAACATGTCTGTTTTCGACATAGAACAGCAGTTCAAGTCGCCACACTCCATGTAGCACACAAAGCAAGAGAAGAAAGTAGAAATGCATAACAAAGACAGTAGACAGGGATATGAGACAAAAGCAATAGTAATAACGAAGAACAATATAGTTTCATTGGAAATTATAAGTCACAAGGAGTGGATGCATCTGCACCAGTCATTGAGAACGATTTTGAGCCACATCACCAATTGTCTCCAGCCTTCATTGGCTTTTACCATCCCGAGGAGCCCAACCGGGAAGCCAGTCTACACCTTCTTACGCAGTCGGCTTAAACTAACTGTTGTGGATTTCATTGACTGGTGCCATGTTTTGGTTTGACCAGCCTGACCCTATGTCAGCTAACATTGTCTGTCGAGGAAGGCGATGGCTAAGCGTGCATGTGTAACACATGTCCTAACCATCTCAGTTGATGTAGCTTCACAGCCTCGTCTATTGACTTCCCCTCCTTACCTAGCACTCGACCGATGCCCAACCTCAATATTGCTCACCCTATTCAACCACTTCACATAGATAGATAGAATGAGAATGAGATAGAATGCAGACACCTATGATCAAAGACAGTTAGCCGACCTCTTCATGTCTTCCACCCTCAATGGTCAGGTCTCACTCACAGCCATAAGTGAGGATAGAGCCAACTGCTGAGCAGTACACACGCTTTTTGGTCGGAAGCCGGATATCACGTCTACGCCAGAGATGGCGTAAACTGGCGTATGCGAAACTAGCCCTCTGTATCCATGCTAAGATTTCGTCAGCGATCAACCCGCTGGCTTTGGTTGATGTAACTTCTCAAATAAATGAAGTGGTCAACTTTCTCTACCACTTCACTCCCTATTATTGTAAGACATCAGTCAGGAGGCAAATGCAATGAAGGTTTTTATTCATGCCTAAGACAAGCTGGTAGAAAATATTTGTAAAACTGTGACGGAGCTAAATTAAGAATAAGTCTAGGCCTGAAAATTCGAGGAATATAATCGTACAAAATCCATCAGTGTAACCCCCATTAGTGATAACCCTGCATTACTCATCACATGACCATCTATATAGGTGAAAATGTTAGACATTACACTTAGATATACCACGCCACCCAAAAACTCAGATCTATTTTTATCTTTGAAATTCTTAAAATGGTTGTTCTTTTTCCCATCTGTATATCCATGGTTGTGAACTCTGCAAACTACTACTACCACTATTGCTTACCACTATGTCAAAGGAAGGGTTTAAGAACGCATGAATCGCACGACAGTAAGAATCAACATAGTGTATGATAGTACTATTCTCAACAGGTTTTACAAGAACAACAAAATGAAATACTTAAGATGCTTCAAAATACCATTCACAAAGCCAGCTGAATATTTACCAAAACCACATGCAGTCAAGTGTGTTGCATATATATATATATATACGCATTTAGTGGAAAAGGTATTCAGTAATCGATTACATTTGTAATTTATTGTCAACACCGAACGACACCTATGTGAAACGATTATTGTCTCATTATTTACAAGTTTACGTATTTGATGCTTATCAACCTGCAAAACTACATTCTCTGGTTAGCTGAATAAGCCACATATGTCAAGAAATTATTTACATGTGTATGCCAAGCCAGTCACATTCTTCGATATATAGTGAGCATTAAAAACAGCAGGTTTCAGGCGGTATAATAAGCAACACAGAAATCACAGTGAAGACAACATACTTGCTTTTTCAGATTAATTCCAACGTTTTCCTGGATGAGCTGGAAGTCATCATCGTCTAGAGCGTCG